TCTTCAAGACCTTCACACCCCCCACGCTCCTCCCTAACAACGGCACCAACGGCGCGCCCATCTACTTCGCAGTCCGCGGCAAGGTCTTCGACGTCACGCCCGGCCGCAACTTCTACGGCCCTGGCGGACCATACGAGAACTTCGCCGGCAGAGATGCGTCGCGGGGCCTGGCGTGCGGAAGTTTCGACGATGATATGTTGACAAAGGATTTGCAGGCCCCGTTGGATACGCTACAGGGGCTAGGGCCGGATGAGATGGAGTCGCTGCACGGCTGGGAGGAGAGGTTTGGGGAGAAGTATTTGGTTGTTGGGCGCTTGGTTGCTGTTGGGGATGAGGGGAAGGAGGGGGTGGAGAATGTGCAGGGGAAGCATCTTTCTGGTTGAGGGGATGGATGTGGGGTTGGTTATGGCGTTTGATTTGGGACTCGTAAATACGGTCATTTAAAAACTTTGATGATGATGAAGGGAATTCGAGGGTTCTTTCACTGGCTAATAAATGTTCCCTTGGTTGGAAGAAGATATGTGTTGCATTGCAATACTTTTATCTCTTACAATGAGACTAGGTTATTTCCTACTGCGAAATCTATCTATCACTTATAGACAGCATTCAAGATGAGTAGCAAGACACTCAAGAGTTTGGGCAAGACCTTATGATATATTATACCTTCAAAGCCAAGCCATCCAGCATTCCGAATCTCGGTACCCGACTACTTCCAATTCAAGAGTGGCCCTCAAACCCCACTTTACTTTCTATCAACCCTATTTGCGCAGTCGTTATCGTCATACATATACATGTTTTAGGAATTTGCAATCCGCGACTTCTGCATAATTTCCAGTACTAACCTCCTGACCTTTGTTAGTTGATCAAAACCTATGTTATGAAGAGGCGGGATTTTTTCCGTTTGCGAGAGATCTTTGGTTGGGGGGAGGATCCGTGTAGTGCTGAGCATTGATCGCCAAGGGAAGCTTACGTCTTTGTACGAGTGGAGTTCAAGGATCGTATACGGTATTTCTATAGATAAAAAACATACTACTCTTCCACGGATCCCCAGTCCCTTCATTATGTTGGGGTATTATAGTTATTAGAATCTCAACTCAACGTGTCGCATAACTACTTCACAAGGCTCCCTTCAACCTCCTTCCTCCACCACGCCGGAAAATCCAACACCTTCCTCCCCTTCCTCGCATCCTCAGCCGCAAAAACCATAGCATGACTCCGGATCACCTCCTCCAAACTACACCCTACATGCACCTTCTGTGCCTCCTCCACCCCAACCCCATGATTCTTCACCGCATCAACAGCCAAGATAAATTGTCTCGCGAGCCCATCATCACCCCCTCCATGTCCCCCGCCGGCCAGATGCGGTCTATAGATCTTCTTCGCCCCCGTATTGAAATTCTCGACTGTGATCGTCTCGCTATCGGCATATATCTCGCCATCAGCACCATAGATATGGCTATACCGCTCACAAATCTTCTTCGTGTGAGCAACCATATGGAAGATGGCTGTCTTAGCTCCCCGTCCAGCGAGAGCCGTTTCATTATCATTATTGGGCTGAGGTAAAGGGTCATTGTCCCATGTCATAGTCACGACTTGATCATCGTTGACATCGTTATCTGCTTCATAAACGCAACGTCCGAACCAGTTTTTGGCCGAGATTTCAGATGTGGGAGTCTGGTTGGTGTAGTCTTCTTCTAGCCTAGCTGTCACGGCAGATACACCTTCAGGGGGTCCGCCGGACGCTATGCATTCTTCGATCTCGGGGACGACGATATCAACAGGCCAGTGTGTGTTGCCCGATGCTAGGCCTTTGAGCTGAGGACCGAGATAGATTTTCTTGGCGGAGTATTTGCAGGATTCTTCGATGGGGCAAGAGAGGCAGTTTGTGGCAGTGCCTGCTGCTGTTGGTTTGCGGGTCTTGTTGAAGTATTGGAGGGAGCCGGACGACGTTACGGTGGTTGGGATGTGTGCTGGGTGGGTGGAATTTGGGGGTGGGGAACAGAGGAGCCAGAGAAGAAGATCGATGTCGTGGCAGGACTTGGTGAGGAGAGAGGGTGCGGTAGTAGACTCTTTTCTCCAGTTCCCGCTGGGGATTGTTAGTTCTGACAAGACAGAAAATGGGGTTCAGGAAACATACCGAACATAGCTGTGAGTGAAATGCCACCACCCAACAGGTTCTGTGTGGTTGATAGACATTATTTCGCCAATTACTTTGTCTTCCAGCAATAGCTTTCGAAGCAACATATTGTGTGGGCTATACCTCAAAACATGACCAATTGAGAATATCTTCGAGGGTACAGTATTTGGCAAATTTGGAAGAAGAGCCTTGTATATCGAAACACAATCGTCCAAACTGGTAGCCAGAGGTTTCTCACACATGATATGTAGGCCGAGGGGGGCCAGCCCGACGATTGCCTCTTTATGCATCTCATCGAGGACACAGATAAAACAAGCATCCACACCTTCTGGTACATCCTCTCCTCTTGCAGCTCTCCCCCGTCTTTCTTCTTCGTATGTGAGGAATTGTTTCCAATCCTCAAACTCCTGTCCTTCCGATGACCCCGCCTTTCCCCAAATGTATGTTTCTCCAAGCCGCTGCCGCTTGTATTTGATGGGCTCTGCCACTGCGACTACTACGCCATTTGAGGACCGCCCCGTAGCTTTGGCGTACGAATTGCCTCGAGATCCTGCTCCTATGATAAGGATGCGGGGAGGGTTCGCGGACATTGAGGGGCGAGGCGGGGCAGGTAGACGTTCAACATCATCGTCGATTGCTGGGGAGTCTGCGTGAGGTGCCATATTGAGTTCTTGTTGTTAATTGACCGATTTGAAGAGATCAAGATCAATATAACAACCTGCCTGGTGAGAATAGCCAACTATCCGTAAGGTCAGCCTCGTGAAGACCCCGCACGTTCGAAAAACACGCAACGTTGCCAGGCTCCAAATAATGTTGCACGGCTTTTGGAGATAGGCTCAGATAGCTATCCGTGAGATGAGCCTTGTGAAGACCCCGCTGGCGGGGTCGTGGTTCGAGGAATATGCAACGTTGCAGCCCAATCACATCGTTGGCATTTGAATTGTACAATACTGGGCTATGTGCTAAAGTGCTAAAGGCTTGGCTCAATTTTTGCTACATGTTATTGCCGACTACCATACTCCGTAGAGCTACTCCGTAAATATTATGGAGCTTCAAGGTACGAAGCCTCAGGGAGCATGCCTGAAAAAAATGTAATGAGCAGAAATAGCTGAAACAAGCGTCCGAAAAATATTTATCTAAGGTGTCAACTTTCTTCATACAGGACACGTCTATGTATTTCTTGATAAATGCTGTTGTGGCACATAATAGCAGACGTGCGTACTACTTATCATCGCTCTACACTTTATAATAGAACAGTCAAAAAAATTGAGTGAAATACAAAAAGCAATATCACTCGGACCGACCCAGACGGGACTCGAACCCGCAATCTTCACCAATCTAATCTAGAAATCCAGGATAATAAAACCACTGGATTAAACCGGAAAGTGACGCCTTACCATTAGGCCACCAGGCCTCAATGTATTTAGAAATGCCGCCTATTCTGATACATACTGCTAGTACAAAAGCTCCGACAATCCCCCGATGCGCGGATTAAGCAGAGGAGATATCCTTCTATACCATATATTAACCGTATTATTTTATCGTACTTACAAATAGTATTGCTTCTCGTACTCATAGATACTAAGCGAGGCGTGTGTTGGGAACATAGGAATTTACGGGTCACGTGCCTTATCACATGCCTTAGCACCAATACTAAGCGAAGGGGCTTCACCTCTTTGTCCACGAATCTATATCTAGACGGAAGCCTTCCTCTTTATCTATTATGCATTGAACCAAAACCACCATTTACATAGGCTATTCAAGTGCACCGCATAATGAAACCAAGACCATACTCACAATCAGCTTTTCCCGACTAGATTTTCGTTCTCTGCGTTTTCAATTCATTCCAACTCACTATCGCATTAATTATCGCACATGTCACTTGAATCTCACATGAAAACAGAATACTTTGCAATAGATATATGTCAAATTTTAATTATCAAGCTCTACAGTTCTTCCTGAAAACTTCCTGAAAACTTCCTTACAGGAAGAAAGACTCGGGAAACGGTAGGTACGTTCACTCAGATGATGCGTTTTTGCACCACTTCCCCGGGATTCTGAAAGCCAGCTTCAAATCCCCACTCCATATCCTCTCCCTCATCATCTTCCACCCAATCATAAAGATAAGTTCTTGGCATCCACCTCTTACCTTTTAGATACGTATCCCGGAACCTTCTCTCCACAATCTGCAGATAATGCATATCCGGCGCCACGACTGCGGTTGCGACTACGGGTGATCCCCTGGCAGCAGAAGCGTCTACCAGTTTCTGGACTCGGTAAATGAGGTTGATTTGGCCAGGGCTGGCTTTCATGGCATGCAGGGAGGAGGCTGTCCAGATGAATAAACTGGTGCTGCCGTTTATGCCGTCGAAGATAAATTTTGTTTTCTCAGGCGTCACGGTGGTTATGACGTCCATTCTGGTCATTTTGGATGAGTGTTTTGTTGGTTTTCTATATATTAATTTCGTTGTATTGGGTTTTGAGGGTCATTTTTTGGGGAATCCTTTCATATAATAGCATTGTTGAAGTTGTTCATTCTGAGAGAAAGACATTTGTTCGGAAGCTTTGTCCTGATTTGCCCTTTTCTTTTGTTGGGCTAATGGAAGGTTGAGAAACCTTCAACAGGCAAGAGAGGTTGAGTGAATAAAGCTATTGACTTGGTTCATTGATTTTGACCTTTCATTATTGATAGTTCAATAGTCAATACGCGATTCTTATGTGGCATAGTCATACTAGTAAAAGAATGCTTTGTATTCATCTCAATTGCTGCAGCGCGAGTATCAACATATGAAGACATTTCAGTGTCTGATGTATTCAAAGCACAAAGAGCGTCGTCTCTTTACTCAACCACAAAATCACGTTCCCCAGTTTGATGTTCTTCCTGTGATCAGCCATTCCCCACTGACGTATCTCGGAGGCGGCAAGTTCTGTCCCCGTAATAGATTTTCCATCACTCCAACATACTTGTCACAACGACCTTCTGGGGCAATATGCGCTAGGTTGATACACCTTCTACAAAAATATGCCTCAGGCGTATCTTGGATTTCGATCGGATTGATACCACCAAACGCATCCTTAACGTGGACTTCGACATATTTGCCGCTGCTGCTGTCACTGGGTGGAAGAAAGTATCGGGCATGCGCGTGAGGCATGAGACCTCCTGCTATCACGGTCCGTTCAACCTCGATGATATATTCTGCGTTGGCCAAATCGATGGCGGTTGGGTTGCGAGTGAGGTTCAAGGATTCGTTTCCCATGGCGTTCATGAACGCTCTAACTTTTAGGTCGTCGACGGGGGAAATGGGCATGGGCATGTTTTCAGCTATAAAGCTAACTTCTTGGCAGCAGAGTACAGTTTGGTGGTGGGCGGATTCCAACCACAGTTCGTTGGGAGTGCGTAAAGCCATTTGTCTGTTCTGGTCGTTTGGTGTTTGGCTTCTGCAGTTGAGCGTAGTTCTTGATCCTGAGATCAAAATAGTAGCAGCTCAGGGATGCGTGAACTCTTATATATTGCTTTGTGTTTTGTCCTGAAGTCAAGCAGACTTTTCCCAGGGACATCTTGAGGGTTCACAAACTTTCCAGTCTTACTCAACGCACTCCCATAGCCATAAGCCTCAAAGTTTGCTCCCTCGACCAGCAATCAAGTGCATTGTAAAACATGCAGTCACTTCTCGGGAACCATTGTATCCCTTTTGACACAGACGTTCTAGCCGAATGCTCCCTCTGGATTCTGCTAAAGAGTATATATCGTGACTCTCAAATATATCACCCACTAGAATAATTTCAGATTCATATTGAATGGGCTTCGGAAAGAGAGCAAAATGTGCAGGCTTTACTAATGTTTGGCTCACTTGTAATCATGGACCATGGCGCCGCGTTCTAGTATATCCCGGAAGGCTCAAAGAACCACCGTTTCATCCCAAAGGAAAATCCGGAAAGGTTGTTCAGACACGCTGTGACAGTCTCTCGCTTTGAAAATCTTGGAATGTAGTCTCTTCTCAAAGGAGTAGTTGCCTATTCGCTCTTTCCTGCATGGAGTACGAAGAAGCGAAAGCTCTTCTAGGATCAACTCCTTTCCGGCTCCAGCGCGCTCAACTCCCGATCAATTTTTTTTTAACTATCTAGACTATCTCCCTATACAGGTCAAAACTAACATCCTTCATGTACCGAATATCTCTTTTCTTGAACATTCATTCAGCCCATAAATCCCGACCCTCAAGTGCGACTTCCTCGGCACATTCACTACGTCGCCTTCATCAATAGAGCAACAACAATAATTAATTCACATGACACCGCCTGTCTGCCTAATTAAAATCCTGCTCCATCCTCCTCTTAAGTTTCAACATCGGAAATCTTATCACCAACCCAACATCAACGGCGACATCAACGGCAACGAGCATGGCTTCAGAACTTGCTTTCGCTGGCCCTTCTCGCTACAACCTCCTTCTCCCCTCTGTCCTCGCACCCAAAAGACATTCCGCAAGCATGTCAATCCCAGACGCCATTGAGCACATGCATAAGCAATTATGGATTCACAAATCAAACCACCCCAAACCACGCAGAGTCACTATAGTACTTTACGAGCCGAACGGCAGCCCGATCATCCACGTTGGGAACCACGATGAGTGTATGATTTACGACCACACGATGCTCGAGGACCTTGTCGACTACGTACAAAAGACGCTCGATGTTAGGACTTCCACCGCTCGATATATGTCTGGTCAGACGAGCCAGGGGTACGACAAATTGCTTGTTAGCAGCTTGGAGTTCCGTGTCGGGGGTCCCAACTATCCACCAGTAACTGGAAAATTAGTCGGCGGTGCTGTCAACGACCTCAAGCCGTGGGGATTTGAATATGCGGGTGTGGTGTGGCCTGATCAAGCGAGTGGGGAGTATCTTTACTTTGAGATGTATCGGGAGGTGTTGATGATGGGTATTAACGTCACGATGAGCAGGCCCATCTTGAAAGTAAAGACTGTATATCGGGCGTCTGTTGACACAGCGTACAATATTCGTCTTGCAGGCCATCACTTTCCCCACGCTGATGATTATCATGGAGACGACAGTGGAACCGGTGGGGGCGAATATCTCGGGAGGAAAGGGAAGGCGCCTGCGGGAGTGGTTGATGAAAATGAAATGGGCAAGGGAATGAATCATCCCGGAGGATACAGTGCTCAATTTGCGGAAACTCTCTGGAACAAGAAACCGGCAGATATGGCCTGGGATGCGCCTGAATTCAAGCTGCTGGGTCTCTACATGGAGAGCATGAAGAATAACCCCTCCGTCAAATTGGATCTTGTCTATGCTCTTCACATGTTCAGCGGCGAGAAACCAATCAATACGCTGGTCCCCAAGAGGAAGGAAGGTCACGGCAGCACTAGACCGAAGGAATATTTGTGGGTTGGTCCTGACCATCCAGACTACCCCGATGGTGCCGATGATTCTATCACGGTCAAGGCCAGGTCCGAGTCGGAGCCAGAAGACATGATGAAGGACTCGGAATATCAATCGTTAATCGAAGTGCAGCTTCATAAACTTGCGCAGTTGAAGTACCATAAAGAGAAAAAGATAGATGCAATTGGCTTTGAAGACGTGGATGATGAGACGTATTTTCCAGCTGCTGGCAAATCCGCTAGTGTAAAGGTCACCCCTGAAAGTCTCGACAAGGTTAACAAGAACCCACGGTCTTTACTCAGAGTCCGAAATAATAGCAGGGTTGAGAAAACTACAGCAATGAATATGAAAGTCTTGACCCAGTTCCAGCAGACAGTTGCAAGCTCGAGTGGCACTTCGCCTGTTCGAGCTTTTACCTCGTTGTACGACACTCCTACACCTTCTCCAAAGATTGGCCCAGGCATCATCAAACTCAGCACGAACACTCCAGTTTTGCAGCATGGCGTCCCGCATATCGACAGTGCCAGATCTCCGTTGAAGCAGAGCACACCTGGTGTTAGGCAGCTCAGACCAGAGTCTCCTGCCTTCACTTTCGACGCCAACAACAGACTCGTTGCCGAAGTGCCTGCTGTTTCGAGTCTTCTGCGCCTGATGCAAATTGAGGGAGTAAGGACTGCGAGAACTCATGAAGGTCACCAAAGTCCACTGAGTGATACTGCTACCCCAAATCCAATGACCCATCAACCAACCATTGATCAACAACATGTCTTTGGATCTGGTAAGAGTGTCTTGCTACCCGCCTATCACAGTCATGATGCTCCGTTTGGTCCCCAGAGCCAACCTGCTGGTGCATCCATGGCAGCCTCGATGTCGTCTGGTCAGCCTCATTCGCAAAACCCAGTCAACTCAAGCACAAGCTCACCCTTCTACCAGAAATTCAGATCTCCAGTCCACCAGATTGCAACTTCAATGGCATCTCAAACCCAGAACCTCCTGAATAATATCACTCAGAGACCAGTTCGAGTACCAGTTGGTAGGCACAGGCAACCACATCAGACTTTGCAAGCTCCACGCCCAACTTTACCTGGCACACCGCGATTTCCTCAGACCCAACTCCACCAGCAAACAAACCACAACTATTTCCAAACACCTCCAGCAGGCCCAGCCAGCATGTCCTTGACCCACGTCTCCGCGGCGCATACCCCAAACCAGCGTGCAAACACCCCCAACGCGACCGTCTTCTCGTACCCTCCGCTTGCACACCCACAACCTAAAGTCAGTGCAAATGTTGCGAGTGCGTTCAGCATCTACCAGAGTAAGATGGATGGGCAGAGCCAAGGTGGTGCGAAAGATATTTCTGATGAGCCTGCCTCTGGGCAACAACAAAATCCTTTCCCGTTTACGTTCAGCTCCTAGATGCCCCCTTGTCAACTTTGGACCGCTCTTGGTTTCACACGAGCATCCTCGTTCGATAGATCAGATTTACTCCGAATCTTCCACTGTTTTCCTTGAACCAGCGTTCTTGTCGACTCGCAGCTTATGGGATCTGCTGAACATTGTTGTTCTCTTTTGTTTACGGCGTTGTAAAATGTACAAAAAGGGAATATTTGATGACATGGTTTTCATTTAACTTAATGATATGGCCCGGGAACTTTAGAATCGGCAGTACGTTTGAGAAATGGAGTCTGTCAATGCAGTCTTTGGGGGGAATGGACACTGTGGCTTTAGATTGGAGATTTTCATGGTACTGGTGACATGGTGACTTCTATAGTGCATTGGATACCTCAGACCGACACAAAAAATGCAGACGCAGTACCAAAGTATGAGAGTTACGCCATCGTGTAAAAGAATCCCGATCATGTAACAATCAGGAGAGGGTGTTATGAATAGTCGATGGGTACTTTGACAAAAAGTCTGGCTATTCATCGAAAACATTGCGTTGAATCTACAACCACGGTATTTTATTCACGTCTGACAAACAAATTGATTGGTAAGGATGAATGAGTTGAAAAATTGAAACCCCGGATAAAAAGCGAATGAAATGAGACGACGCAGAGAAGGGGTATTCATCTAGGATTTTACGGTAGATGAGATGATGCAAGGCAAGGAAAACAAACGAGAGGCTGTCTGCCGTGCAGCCGTTGGGAGCCCTCCTTATTAGATCGAAGAGGGAGGACGGCAATGGAATGGCATGGCATGGCTTGGTCGACGGACTGCTGACAGGTTCCGTGTTCGCGGGTCAAGGAACCCTGTTGTTTGTTGGATACCGGTACGGGTACTTGCATGTGATTTTGACGTGCGTGAGGAGTATGTACAGGAAGAATAGGGATTGGATTGGATTGGATTGATTGGATTCAGTGTATACCCGGTAAAAGTGAGGTGGGTTTGCAGGTGTAAGTATAGGAGTAGGAGTGGCTGATGATATATCGGATATGTGTTATATACCTGTTCGACAAATATCTATCCTCTTTTTTAGAGATAGACGAACTATGTAGTTTTTCGTTCGTTAACATGATATTGATTCCATGTTCTACAGCGGTACTGAACAGTTTAGCTGTGCCGTCTACCTTTACCCTCATGGTGTACAAGATAGCCTCTGTCGCCTTGGAAAGCAAGAAATACGGTACTTCGTATGCTGTTAGTCAGTGTGTGCTTGACGTTTGCTGCCGAGACTGCCGTCGGGTAGACCCTTGATCTCGAAGGAAGGAAACGAAGGCCCTCTGTAGGCAAGATATACGACATGCATACCATATTATGGCTGACGATTGTATGGGGTAAGGAGGGAGAAGGTGTGAGAGAGAGAATGACGCGAGAGATACTGTAGGATGGCGATAATGCAACGGGGGGAAGATTAATCATAACGGTGCTGCCTTGTCTGCTTGACTTGATGAGTATTATCTGTCTGCAGACATTTGAGAGGGAAAAGTGTTGGATAAAGAAGAGATGAGACGAAACAAGACGAAATGGAACGCGGTGCGGTGTGCGATGCAGATGTAGCGAGGATGTACAGGGTTCTGTAGGCGCTGCGCTTCTGTTCCAATGATCCGCGTCTTTGCCTACAAAATTCAAAGCTTTTGCGCAGATCTTGAATTGCATTGGACAGCCAGCTAGAGAGCTGTATATTGAGCATATGTTTTTACGACTTATAGCTAATGAGAGTTGGAGCAAGGCAAGCTCCGTGATAAGTGGTTTGTTTACAAGCCATGCCCATGCCATGCGGTCAAAAGACGAGGCGAAATCACTTAAAATAAAGCAAGGCAATCACTGCATGGCTGCACTGCATACATAGCTGCGCTGCACTGCAATGCACTTCACGTGCACTTCACTTCCCTTCTTCTCCAGGATATGAGGATCGAAGGGTCAAATCTAACCCTCGAGCATTATCTCCAGATAGATACCTATTTTGAGAAGGAAAGGTCACGAGTCGAAGGTACCTCCTTACCGGTAACCAGAATGTGCGGGGGCGAAATGTCCATATTGGGATCAGGAACGCGATGCTCCTTTCGATTGCAGCCCGTACGGAGTACAGTAGCAGCTTCTGCAGAGGAACAGAACTCTGCAGGCCTACCCACGCCCACGACTATCCAAGGGGGTTGCCGCTATGTATCTAGACCTCACGATGCTCTGCGATGTTGGCTCCACTGAGCCTCCCCTCCCACGATTTGGTGGTGGCGGCTGACAATGGGCCCAGTATTGATCTTGACCGCTTCAACCACCCGCTCCTGTAGTCTACATGCATAGAGGCCATCCCCATCCAAGGAGGTATCGGTAGCGTCTTCACATTCTTCCTATTGCTGCATCGGTCTCTAGCATTGCGCGCATGCATCCAAGGACCGTACTGTACTTTCCAAGAGCGCCAGCCATGCAAATTCATAATTCGGACTGGGACTGGGACCCTACCCGTCGTGGTCGGTCGACCTTTCCTACAGCGGGAAATTCGGGGTACATACTTACTATTACTATAAACAACGCTGTACTGTAAATCCATGCGATGCCCATTGCCTTTCATCCGCGATTCAAGTTGCACAGCGCGCGATAGCACATATCGTGCCACCCCTCAAACCAACAACCCTCCAGCTTACGGATCATTCATCGCGCCAGCTGACAACCATACCGATTGGTGATTCGAGACGGCCCGCGAAAATTGACGGTAGCAAGCAAGCAAGGCAAGGTAAAGCAAAGAAAAGTAGTAAGCCGGCTTTGCTCCTCGATCGAATTCCAGGAGCTTGCAGTATCTTGCTCGATTCCTTGCGCGCATCGTCACCTATCGTCGGATGTGATAGCTTCTGGCATCAGACGAAGAGGCTAGAATTCAGCGTGATCTTGATCGGTGAAAGAATAGGCAGTTGTTCCATGTAGTGAGACGACCCAGCAAGGCAAACAAGCTCCCTAGCCCAGTCTCACCGAGTAGCACAACCTTCACAGTATCCGAAACTGCACCCAAGGTACCTTTTTTGTCTTTCTTTACATGCTCGTATCTGCCTTTCCTCCTGCTGTGCCTTGCTGTCTTCTTTGGGATATATGTATGGACTAGGTTGGTCAGCTTAAGCTCAAGTTTTGAGTTTTGAGTTTGAGTTATGATGGGTTTGAACCACTTTCTGGGGCAGGACTGGAGCAGGACTGGAGCTAGAGCTGCATCTTGAGCATCAGCATGAACATGAGCATGGGCTTGTTTAGTGTGATGTAGAAGCAACGAGGCTACCGGGTTTTGTTTGTTTGTCGGTGATATTCTTCTCGTTTTCGCTTCATTTTAGCTAAAGACTTTCCTTTTATGAGTCAATCTCAATGAGTCAAGCTTAAGTGTTGTCAGCCCTCCACCGTACCTTCCACCATCTATCTGCCTTGGGACCTTAAGACACTGCAGCCTTGTTGCACCCACGTGGTGCGGGTACCTTGCATCATCCACCCCTTCCTCCTTTTTTTTTTTTCTTTTTCTATAATTCACGTTTTCACCCGTCCGTTTTGTCTTCCTCGGCATCTTGTCTAATAGTTTCCGCCAACGTAGACCCTCTAGTACCTCGCTGCGCATCCTGCTTGTCATCACCCGGAACGACCATCATGGCGTCCTCGGCCCATGAAGAAGTAAGTTCCTATACTCCTTATCCAAGAACTCTCTGCAACGTCGAAAGTCATCCCCAAAAGGCCCTACTTCTCTACTTCTAGCCTTCAATCTATCGTCAATGGTAACAGCTAACATCATATCAGGTATTGGTTGCCGTCAAAGCCATTCACTACGCCTACCCAGCTTTCGTTATCTTCTACTTCATCGTCGCTTTGACAATCACTGTCTGTACCCTGCAGACTCAGGCCTTGAGAATTCGAGATTCAGCCGTTCGTCGGGATGTAATTTTAGCTCTGATCTTTGCTGTCACTGGAAGCTATGTACGTGCCTCTCCAATCGAGGCAGAATTGCCACTCTGTTATCAAACCGCGTTTGCTGACTGTGAGACATAGCTTCTAGAATGTATCATATTGCTTGTACGGGGCCTGGCTACCTCTGAATGGTTTACTGGCCAGGATCGCGTCGTAAGTTTGACTAATTTTCTACTGGGACTGAGCTATTCCGGGAATCTCTGCACTCAAATTGCTAACCTGCTCCAGGTCTATCTGATATCTTCTGCGATTGCCTTTGGAGTACAAGCATTGGCCTTAACCGATAGCAAGTTTCCCGTCTGGTACCCGTACTACGTCACTTGGTTTGTTGGAGTAGCTGCGGAAATTGGTTTACTCATCTTCCAGTCCCTCACGCATTCACCAGTATCCGCCTTTGACTACGTTGCAATCGTCGTCCAAGCTTTGAGGATATGCACCTTTATACTCCTACCCGCTTCATATTTCGGGTTTCGCAACGACAAGAAGCAGTATGAGAACAACGATGCAGAACGGCAGTCACTCCTCAGGAAAAAGCTTGCTCCAAAACCATCAGAATCAGAAAATTCGACGCTAAATGGTAACGAAAGCAGTAACGATAGTGCACATGCTCCTGGATATGGAACAATAGATACAACAACCGAAAATTCGGATTCCGACTCAGACGTCGATCCAGATGAAGATAGATACCTCAAAAGCGAGCGTGCAGCCAGGAAATTGGTCCAGAAACGTTTGAAACAGGACGGTAATTGGTTCACGTATGCGAAAGGCTTTACTGTAAGTGACAGACAGATGGCTAAAATTCTTGCTAGAATGCTGACTTCTATCCAAGATATTCTTCCCATATGTCTGGCCTACGCGCGACAGAAGTCTGCAACTTCGAACTGTGTTTGTGGGGGTGTGTCTACTTTTGACAAATGCACTGAATGTTTTGGTTCCTAACCAGTTGGGTGTGATGGTGGATAAGCTGACAAAATACTCTACTGGAGGTAAGTGATGCAGACTCGATTTCCAAAAACCAACTAACACGCAAAAGATCACAATCAGCAAATTTGGGTAGCCATTACTGTTTATGCTGTATTGCGTTTCATCAGCAGTGGCGGCTGTATTGGGTGGATTCAGAGGTGGCTGTGGATTCCAGTTGAACAGTACTCATATAACGCACTGAACACTGCCTCCCATGCGCACATCATGGATCTCTCCTCGGACTTCCACGACAACAAAAGCAGCTCAGATATAATCCAAGCAATGCGTGGCGGAAGTTCTATTGCCGATCTGTTGGAACTTGTTTGCTTCCAAGTTCTGCCAATGTTTATAGATCTCGCCATTGCCGTCGCATACTTATGGTCCATTTTCGGACCTTATATGGGACTCATGATAGCTGCTACTGCGATTTCTTACTTGTATGTCACGACGAAGTTAGTAAGTCTCCGAGCTCCCAAGCGTCGAGACTATATCACCGTTTCGCGAAAGGAATGGACAGTTGGTTACGGATCACTTGACGGGTGGGTCACAGCCAGTGTAAGTATTTAGACCCTAAAGCAACCCCAAAGACTAACACTCATTCAGCTATTCAATATGATCCCTCACGAAAAGCAGAAGTATTCTTCAGGTAGGATGGCAATCTGCTCCGAAAAAATCTCCGATTTACTAATGATCTCATAGCTGTCAAATCGCACTTGAAATCCAGGCGTATTTTTGAGATGTCAAGTCAGACCATCATTTTTTCTCAAGGCGTGATTATGGGTCTCGGACTCTTTGGCGCACTAATCTTGGGCGGCTTTCAAGTTGCCACTGGTGAAGTGTCCGTAGGAAGATTCACTACACTGCTTGTTTATTGGGCGCAGCTTTCAAGTGAGTTTCCTGAGATTCGATCATGGTCTTTATGTTGATTTTCATAGTACCTTTGGGATTCTTTACCAGGATGTTCAAGGACATTACTTACAGCCTCATGGATGCTGAACGCTTATTGGAATTGTTTCAAACGAAACCAACCATTACCGACTCGCCCAATGCAAAACCACTAGGATTGAGTCATGGCCTAGTCAAGTTTGACTCTGTGTCTTTTGCCTACGATCAGAGGAAGCCTACGTTGTCAAAAGTCAGTTTCACGGTTCCTGCGGGTAAAACAGTTGCACTCGTCGGTGAGACTGGAGGAGGAAAGTCTACCATCCTGAAATTGATTGGTCGGTTCTATGACGTTAATGGCGGAAGTATTTCCATCGACAATCAAGACATTCGTGAAGTTACGGTATCCAGGTATGATGAACATGCTAATTTGGTTTACGTGGAACTGACCTTGCAAATCATAGTCTGCGAGAGAAGATCGGCGTTGTGCCTCAAGATCCAACACTCTTTAATGACACTATCATGAATAACATTCGATATTCTCGAATCGATGCTAGTGATTCGGAAGTCCATGAAGCCTGTAAAGCCGCTGCTATTCATGATAAAATCATGTCTTTCCCTGATGGTAAGTTCAGTCCTTGATGACGGTCAGTGTCAAGTCAACTAACCAGCGTTCTCAGGGTATAATTCTACTGTTGGAAATAACGGCGTGTAGGTGCCCTTGAAGTATTTTGATATTTCGCTGACATGTTTCATAGGAAACTTTCAGGTGGCGAGAAGCAGCGTGTGGCCATTGCTCGAGCCATTCTTAAATGCCCAGAAATCATTCTGCTGGATGAGGCTACTAGCGCCGTCGACACTAAAACAGAACAATTGATACAGGAAGGTTTTAACACGTTGTGCAGAGGGCGAACGACATTTATCGTCGCGTAAGTGCAAGACCATAAAACTCAATTCAGTGCTGACTCTTGCAGACATCGACTATCAACAATCATGAAGGCTGACCATATCTTGGTTGTTATGGATGGCAAGATTGTTGAACAGGGCTCTCACCAAGAGCTGATCCGTTCGGAAGGCAAATACCACGAACTGTGGTCGAATCAGATTTTCATCAAGCCTGAAAATGAACGTCCTAGTTCTCGAAGCCCTGAGCAGAAGAAGTCGGGCATCGTGAACGATCTCAGTCCCACTCGCCACAAAGCGGAATTATCCAAGGTTACAGAGACTGCAGATCATGAACGTCCTCCAGGTAAGGATGATGGCAAGAAGCCAGATGAAGAAAAAGATGTATCGAAAGGTCACACGAGCGAGGTAAGCCCCGGAGCTGAATGAACATTTATCTCTGGTGGTGAACTTAGAGCTGTGGATTTTGAATAGCAAGTTTGCTATGACCAGAGCATAAAAAGAAATATCTACCTAATTTTATATCCTTGTTGTCCATGGTGTGGAAGTGCTACATGATCCTTCATCGTGACTCTGTCCAGAAAATTGTTACCACCAGCTTCTAACTATGCAAAGGCCTCCAAACCGAAACAAGATGCTCCTGAATTTACCCCCCTTCAACCCACCACTTCGCCAGGCCCGGTTACGAAAGCAATTTCAAAGCTGCAAAAGAGACTGGAGAAGGAACTGGAGAAGGAACGAAAGGCGAGTTTGAGTAAGAAGACTGCCAAGAAGACGACCAAGTTTGCACAACTTGAAGGTTGGGATAGAAAGCTACTGAGCCATGTATGCCAATCACTAAGAACATTTACAGACACAAAAACTGGAAGCGAGTCACCTTCGGCCGGTCCATTACCCGAGTTAGTGATCAAGGCAGAAGAAAGCAGCAGGCCAAAGACGAAACGTACCAGATTCTCTAGAAGAAACTTAGCAAAAAGCGAACCCAGCAGAGTTTCTCACGATGGTGCTCAGGATTCCGATATAACTGCAGCCAGCTCTGGAGAAGGCCAGCCTTCACTGCAAAATATTGGAATGGTAGTGAGTCCTTTTTGAGTATTAGGAATTTTGGCTAATTACAAAAAGCAACGTCGTCGAGTGTCAGCTCCAAGTAATCCTCCTTCTGCCCCACAAGGCTCTCGCCGAGCCAGAGCTCGTCCCCGACGAACTCGACACTGGCGGCTGAAGAACCGAGCCGCTGAGAACGGAACTAGCACTCTCTCAGGGGCAACGACTTCGGTAGAAGCATCTGCTTTCGCGGATAGACCGGCTGCCCCGCTTGCTAGCCCGGCTTCAGGCGCGCCGCAGAGTTCGACGGCCGTTAATTGCGCTCCTGGTTCTTGATTGCTGACCCGTGTTGTGCTCTTCTTCTTCTGTTGGTCTTTCATTAGTATGCTAGGTCTAGTCTAGCGAATAGATGCTAATTGCCTCACAGTTACTTTAACGCTCGTCGCCCTTCCATATGATTTACGAAGCAACGTTCATCTTCAATATTCTGTATTAGGGATACTTGAGTAGGTGATACCAACAGAAGTTATTGGGCTTGGAATTTTTATGCTCGCTCGTCTTTTCCATTCCTTTGTGTTCGGAGGTATACATACGAAATTGCGATAGCGACAGTGAAATAGGGAGGGGTTTCCTTGCTGTGGATATTCTTTATGGCGGGCGGAATTATGGGCGCCTGAGGTGGGTGGATTACGCTGTCATGAATGCATTGTACGGAGTATCATAATATGTAGGGATTGGCAGGTGGTATACGTTCTATCAGATTTTTGAGGGGTAGCTTTTACGCTGTTAATGGATGGGTGGGTAAAGGAAAATATTATTGGCGAAAATGGAGGGAGGAAGTTATTGGAGTGGAGTGGAGTGGAGTGGATAGGCAGTTATAACTGATGGAGGAATTCATCGCGGTTTACATCATGAAGCAAGCAAGCCCTTTGCCTTAGTGTGAAGGTTAAGCTTGTGGAGGTTTTGGCAGGCAGTTGGGAAGATTGAAGCCAGTCTCACAGTCCCTGGTGGCAACGGCATGATGTCTGGTACTCAAAAGTAAAGAAGAGACGAAATATTGATATTTATTCAAGACATACTCTCTCTATCTAACAATCCATGCGAGCGCCTTGGTATCATTTCGTGAACTTCATGATTAAAGGGTGGACGTTCGAATTATTGACCACCTGCTCCACGTCCGGCTCCTCGTCCTGCACCGCCCATCATGTTCCGAGCCATCTCGGCGAGACTTGGATCTTGCATCAAGCTGTAGGGTAAGGGTTAGTGTCTATACGAGCTAGTGTAGGAAATATGTGGCTTACCTGGACAAATCTGGCATTCCACCACCTCCTGGGGCACCAGCTTCACCACCGCCACCACCGAATTGCGATGCCATTTCGCGGACACGGGGGTTCGACATGATGTTGTTAAGAGCATCAGGATTCGACATCAGGTTCTGGGCCATGGAAGCAAACATCGGGTTCGACATAATGCTGCTGAGATCCGGCATTCCTCCACCACCACCAGCTCCACCACCACCACCAAACATAGAAGCCATAGCAGCTAGATCCGGCATTCCTCCCGCTCCGCCACCACCACCACCACCAGCTCCTCTCTCCGCAACCTCATCCTCATCACTATCTTGCGAAAGCTCCTCGACCCGTTTCTTCGCCGTCTCGTACCCCTTCTGCATCGGCATACTCCCACCATTCCCTTCATGCTTGATGCCTTGCTCGTACGCCTCCATGCTACCCTGCGCATCTCCCAGCGCGAACTTGGCGAGCCCAAGGCGACTCCAGGCCTTGGTGTAGCTTGGATCAGCCGATACTGCAGCCTCGGCGTCCGCGCGCGCAGACTCGTGGTCCTTGCTCGCTGAATACGCAGCCGCGCGGTTGGATAGGAAGATCGGGTTCCCTGGAACGAGCGCCAGGGCTTTACTGTATAGTGAAATGGCCTTGGGGTAATCCTTCAGTGCCATAGCGGAATTGCCTTGTGACTTCAAGGCCTCGGCCTCCTTCTTCTGCTCATCGCTCGGCGCGGAACTCGTTGCTGCTGGGGTGGAGGAGGAGGGGGAAGTAGGTTTGTTCTTGAGCTTCTCGTAGACGCTGTAGATTCCTAGGAGCGACTGCGAGTCCTTGGGGGTGGCGTCGGTGGGGTCGACTTTGTAGGATTCCGAGATGCAGTTTGTGGCTACTTCGATGCTTTCACGATCGTCTTCGCTGAGGGTGCCGTCGGTGAGGGAGGTGTTGAGGAATTCGATGATGGCGAGGGCCAGTCTTTGCTTGGTTGTCGCCATGATTGCTGGCTGTATTAGAGGTGGTGTGTTGATTGTATTTGGGAATGGAACTCGGGATGGTGGAGTGTTTAGGCAAGTTGTCTAGAATCTTCGCCGCCATTTCTTAGTGCGGGGCGGGTGGAGGTGTGGGGCCGGGCGGCGGCCGCATGTTGCTATGACTTCAAAAGAACCACCAACTCGGATTTTTATATCGAGTACTGTACTCCACAGTATGCTAGTTGACACCTCAATGCCAGTGAATTGAGTTAAAGATACCGGCATACTGCCACAAGCTTGTCAATAAGAAAGAAGGCTTTGCATTCATTCTCTTCTTTTCATTCTGAAAACCTCTCAGCCGTCTGTGTTGTTCATGTTATCCTAATCTATTCTTTTCTACCACAACTTTTCAAAGTCCACCAGTACTGTTACACGGAATGACACACAGCCGGAAGAAGTTCCCCGGTGCTCAGATAGTACATATCCGGTCCGGAAACTTTACTCATATCATCTGGACAAATTCACCAGGCGACCAGTATGGGGCAGAGAAGCTCGCAGCTGAGATGGAGGTGGATAGGCTACATGCACATAATAGATCACCGCTCTCTAAAAATGCAAGAAAACAACAACGGAGGCGAGCTATAGCTACTGACACGATAAACCTTTCTCTGCCTACCAAAGCCTCAACACCGAGGCCGAATCCGAATGCGCCCCAAGCACCTCGAGCCGATAACCCCAAGATCGAACAAGCAGCCACGAGTCCAGTGCTTCTGAATGCACCACGGGGATCTCGATTAATCAATCCATCGATCAAGACCGAGCTTTCGGAGACGGGTCCAATATCTTCGAATCCCATCATACACCCGAACCCTATCCAGTATGCCGACCCGTCTCCCGAGCAGCCTCGCTCCCAAATAGCTTCGAGTGCTCTCCCAGATCCTCGGCCCCAAGAAAAACCCCAGGCCCTTCCAACGCCCACACAGCAGCCCGAAAAGAGCCCCTCCTTCGAGCCACCCCTTCTAAACCCTTTCCCGGACGTCTCTACGTCCACCTCCGCCTCTACCTCTGAAACAATCCTGGAGCTCCAGCAACAGGTAGAGTACTGGCGCGATCAGGCAGAGTTCCAGAGCAAGCAAAAGGCGCATCAGAAGGAACTGCGTGTGCTGAAGGATAGGGAGATAGCGGCGTTGAGGGAGTTGCTTGCTACGGCTGAGGAGAAGGTGAGGGAAGTGGAAACGAGGAATGCTACTGTGTTGACCACGCTGGAATCAGAAATCGAGAAAGGATTTGGGGACTGTATGAAGATGTTTTGATATGGGAAGGGAAGGGTAAATAAATGTTTTTATGATGGAATTTTGCTGGCTGGTGTTAGATGGGAGTTGTAGATATGGGTCTTGGCTTGGCGTTATATACCCGGTTTGGAGGGACAAAGATCGTGTGCAGTGGTATGGGGGATATTTATAGGAGGTTCTGGCGTCACGTTGAGATGTTTTTGGAGCAAGAATAAGCCTGAGCAGAGAGTTTGAATGCACGATGTTTCTTGCTTAGCCTACTTTTCTTCTATGACAGATGCGAATGAAGTCAGCAGACCTTCTGGCTCTGCTCAAGGCAGCAGCTTTCAGCATGTACATTCTGCGTTCTGTTGTTAGATCGAGTCAGCAAGTGTTTGTTTATATGTATCTTGAGACGAGGGAAGAGTTTAGTTGGAATGCGAACGATTTATTCGAATTTATTGAACAAGGACGGGGTGCCATTCACGGAGATTACACATTTGTATAGGGACCTTGAAGAAAGGAGGATGGCATGGGAAGAGATATCGCGTCAAGTATAAATTGTTGTGAAGGAGTTGTTTAGGTCAAACATCATCTACCCTTTGAACTTCACTTGCGAGTATTGCAGACTGTCCCACTCAAGATGGCACATTTATCTTCAAACCAAGGATAGAAAACTAGAGGTGAAACATCATATGCTGGGTGTTCACTTCGAAGTATCTTGTCATTCAAGGCAAAATTTTCTTCTGCTGTCAATAGTAGAGTTGCTGTCACGAATGAAGGAACAGTTGGTCAAGAATAGACATTCAATTCAAATGTCATCAACAGGCCGGTTTGTTATCAACAGTACTGCAATATCCCTCGGGAACGAAGAAGGAAGCCCGACTATTACAAGACAGAAACTCAAGGAGTGTTCTGAGGTGGCTTTCAAGGTACTTTCTCCACACAAATCAAATCATTAGCAGTAATATAGCACAGCAAACATCAAGAACTCTTCAATAACCACAATGGAAACTTTTGCTGAAGAGGATTGGTAATGCTAGATAGGTTCCTTATATACCAATATCCATGAGACAACCATTCATGATACAATGAATAGAAATCTAAATATTTTGATGTGAGTTCCCTAGTAACATTGAGGAACCCATGTTTTATCGTCACTTCTAGACACTCTTTCCCTCCACAGATACTAAAAAATGGAAAGGTCAAACCTAACCGGCCAGTCACACAGCTCGATGTATATAAACCCTACGCTTTCCCCATTCCCGTGCTCTTCGCCTTATACAACTCCGACAACAGGTCCAGCCAGTGACTTTCTTCAGATAGCTTAGGTTCATAAAATCTGAGTGATAGATTAGCAGATCAAGAAGAATGGATCAAGCACATGTATGGTTCAGATGGACTTGCAGAGCGATTGTCCACGTAGGTAGAAGATAGTTGCTGTTAAAAGAAAACCCCCGGTCATCTCAAACAATCATCGGATAGATGTTTGGAGCCGAACTTGGATACATACAGGCGACCTATCCAGAAGCAAAATCTACCGCGCGACGTCCATATAATTACTTGCGGGACAGGCATCTTAATTCGCAGTTCAATTGCCGATCTCAGCATGGCTCTTTGGAAAGCTTCTTGTCTGGGGAACTGTGGCACATAGATCATTGGTTCTCATAGCTAATATATACTAGAAATCATGTGTCCCACGCCCTGCATTCGATCTCTTATTTTGGCCAAGCCTTACATAGAAGGAGGAAAAATAATGTCGATTGAGATGGTGTTACATAAGCTAGTAGACATTGAATTTGGATCTTACAAGACCCATCAAGCACGCCTGTGCCTTCATTTGAAATGCGATATATTATAGTACACCCAATGTTGCTGCTCTCAAATGAAATCACATTAGCGTGTTGAGTGAGTTATAATAAGCACCTCTCTTTCAGATTCATCATCATTCAACGAAGCGAATTATTCAAAGAAGTCTAGGGCTTGAGTATCTTGAAGAAGTGCACTCACACATGGATGACCGGATAACTATTTTGATGGGTGTGAGACCGAAAAGACGCGTAACTACAATAACTACTTGCAGCGCTGATTAGCGTCTTGGGGAAAAGGGAATGATTTTGCTGCCAATTGTAGTATTGCTGTCAAGTGTTCTAGTCGGCGCCATTCATTAAGGAAAGTAATGAACGAATGAGGTCTACTTACTACTTCAGCAATTTTGATTTCGTGGCGATGATTCGTATGTTTAAGCCGACTCGTGAAAGCGGCTTAGATGCTCAGAGTTTACATGTAGGAAACTCCGAAAATTGGACTGCAATCGTAGGTTGAAAGATTGCCATTATAATAAGATTGCCTTCTATAGGCAACCTACTTACTAGGTCAACACAGGCTTAAGAAAGGGGAAAGAGGGAAGCAGTTTAGTTGACTTGTACTGCACTACACTTTTCGCGGAAACTGGCTTGAAACCAGCCGTCAAATCAACACGTATATCTGAGAATAGAATAGATGAACATCTGGGCTCTCTATATTGTTGACAAGTTTTCATCTCAGAGCACACACGCTGACAGAACTATCAGACTTCTTTCAGTGATATCTTTCCACTTCTCAAACCAGTCCAAACCTCAAATAAACAACGCAAGAGGTTGCGGCAGGGAATTCTTCTCATATCCCTGAGTTCCCCAAGCGAACGTAGACTTCTCTGCGTAAAGTGCAACAACCCCTTCATCACCCCCGCACTCCTCTCGAAGAAGTGTGTTCTCCAGTCCTCCTGAGTTCTCGGTGCGAAGTGTAATAAAGAAACTAACTGCGCTTCAAGTCCTTGAGAACTTCGAGGTCGAAGTAGAGTGAGCATATGAGACAGAACTCGAGAGTTCTCTGACGTGCTTTGCTTCTTCAAGGGAGGGGGGACAAGGGTAAAAATGGACAATTCGCAGGATAATGGAGGTTTGGGAGCGTTTGGAGACACTATGCTACGTTGATATGAGCTTTCAGGGGGTTTATGAGTAGGATAAGAGAATCTCTCGCAACTATGAGACATTGTCGAGTGTGAGGTAAAGTAGGGCAACTTGCCACTTTCTTACCAATACCGCAAACTCTCTTAATCAGAATGATGGCAAAGTAATTCATTATTTATCCTTTGGCAGCTCCAGCCTTTATCAATAGGATATCTCCATCTTCTACGACGTAATCCTTTCCTTTCGTCATAACTTTGCCCTTCGCCTTGACCTCCGACTCGTCACCCATTTCTTTCAGCGAAGCAAAGTTATACACAATAGCCTGGATGAAAGTCTTCTCGAAATCTCCGTGAATAACACCTGCAGCTTGAGGTGCCTTGGTGCCATTTCTAATCGTCCATTGTCTGACTTCATCTGTGCCGGTTGTGAAGAAACTGCCCAGGTTCAATACTTTACGCATGCTGGTGATAATCTTAGGGAGAGCGGACTCGACACCAAGGGTCTTGAGCTCGGCCTTGACTTCATCCTCGGTCTCGAAGCGTGTGAGACGTTCCTCAAGACAAATGGAGATGGGCATGATGGGGTCACCGGCTGCATGCTCTTTGATCCATTCCATGACCTTGCCGAGATGCTTGTTCTTTTTACGGATGTAATCTTTCTCGCTCAGGTTGATGAGATAGACGACTGGCTTAGCTGTCAAGAGGAAAAGGGGGTTGATGAACTCGATCTGCTGATGTGTTAGTGACTTGCTTGCCAAAAAGGTTCAAGGCAAAAGATGAATTTTGGATATTGATCAGAACGGGTTTCTTATCTCAGGGTGCACTCTGCGTTTATGTTGAGGCACATCGACGAGCTGGGATTATTCAGGCCTCATGGCCCTTTGTCATCATGAAAAGGTTGATGTAGAACAGCAATGAAAATTTGCAACATACCTCTTTAACAGTCCATTCACCTTTCCGGACGTCTCCACCATCTTGCAACAGCTTCAAGACCTTCTCAATACAAGCTTCTTCTTCCTTAAGCTTCTTCATCTCTAGAGACTGACCACCTCTCCGAGTCAGCTTCTTCGAGTTCTCTAGTGCTTTCTCAGTGAACTCAATATCCTTGATTCGCAGCTCATCGCTGATGATCTCTAAATCTCGGACTGGGTCGACATCTCCTTCAATGTGGATGATCTCTGCATCATCGAAACAACGAACGACTTGAAATATGGCATCGACGGCACGGATGTGAGACAAGAAGGCGTTTCCCAGACCAGCACCACTCGAGGCACCTCGAGTCAAGCCAGCAATATCATAGATGGTTAGATGTGCGGGGACTCGCGACTTGGGATTGTATTTTTCACACAGCCAGTCATATCTGTCATCTGGGACGATGACTCGCGATTCCTCGGGGTCAATTGTTGCGAAAGGGAAGTTCTGGTGGCCGTTAGACTTGCTCGTCAGAAAGCCCATACTGTGCTGTACTTACGGCGGGGTTTCCTAGCGAGCACTTGGTGATAGCTTGGAAAAGCGTCGATTTACCAACATTGGCAAGACCGACCTATGAAGGAATCAGTGAGCTGTCGCACGCAGAAGAGGAAGCGGGTAGCATACGATTCCACTCTTCAAGCTATTACCCGGCCTGCCCAGCAGGATCTTCTCCTCCTTGACGGCCTTCTTGGGAGGCATTCTCTTCTTTTTTGCGTAGGAGCGTGTAGTTGTGTGTAAGACCGTGCAGCTAAGCAGGCTCTGATTATTTGCAGTCGCAGTTCTTGCTGCAGACCGTTGAAAAGTAAGGAGGAAAGAAGAGAAGACACGCGCAGCACCGTGAGGGGACGTCGTGATGGTGGTAGCCTTGTTGTGTGCGTGAGAGTTTTGCACCTCTCGCGCCCAGTTTTTTGTGTGCGAATAGTATTGGGTAAAATTGAATCTAGCCACCAAGTTGAATGCATAGGTATCCCAAAGCAGTTAGTACATAGTCAGGTGATTCAGCAATTCTTCCCCCAGTCTTCAGCTTAGTCACTACTACCTAGGCCTCGGTATGACTTCAGACGGAAGCCTGAAGGAATCGTTGAGTTCAAACATCGCTGGCCGAAGGAACACCAACCAACTGAAAATTAAACAATACACCACATTGCATCGCATTCTTTCTTTTCGATTTCAGAAGCTGTAGTGCTACTACCACAATCGTTTAACCTTGAGTCCACGAAGATGTCTTCAAAGAAGAGCTCCCGGAAAGCTTCCAGTCAAAGTCACCGTTCCACACTCTCGTTCCAGAAGACCGAGATCATGATTAATGTCTATGATCTTCTACCTGTGCGTTCCCGCACGACTTGTCTCTGATATGCCCTGACCCTTTCCATCCAGTGTTAGACTTCTGCTAATTATTTATCTTTGTAGCCCGGTCGTCTGGCCTCTATGTTGTGGACCGTTGGCGCGTCCCTCCTACATTCTGGAATTGTCATCAACAAAAGAGAGTACGCATACGGCGGGCATGACAAGAGAGGCATGACAGGCGTATACTGGACAAAGCCCAAGACAGAGCCACCAGGAGGAACTTTCAAATGTGAAATTCTACACGGGTTCACAGTTGCCCCGCAGGACGAAATAGACACAATCATCAAGGAAGCTTCCGAGGCTTTTCAGGGCACGTCGTACAACCTACTTACTAGAAACTGCAATCACTTCACGGCATACCTCTGCGAGAAGCTGACTGGACGGCCGGGCCCAAGTTGGCTGAATCGTGCGGCGAGTATCGGAGTTGCGTTGCCTTGTGTGGTGCCTAGGGAATGGATTGCCCCACCCGACTTTGATACTGCGGACGGGGAGCTGCTGGACGAAGATGAGCATAATGATTCCCATGAAGGCTCTAGGATGCTGGGGAGCACTGATACCAGTAAGCGATGGAGCGTTGACAATGGATCCAGGAGCTTTGATGAAGAATGGGACTCCGAGCAAGACAGATTACGAAGTGAAGGTGCCAAAAGCAAGGGGAAAGCTCCAGCGAGAGATACTTCTGGACGTGTTGTTCCCCCTTCAGAAAGAGCACCCACTACGAGAGGTCCATAATCGTTTTGAATTCAGCGGCAAAATCAGGAGGCGTATCGGCATGGATCTTTATCTTATTACAGGCGTTACATTAGGGATGATACCAAATGGTCTGTAGTCTATATTACAGAATGTACAGCGCTCTTTCTTTCTACGTGCAGTGTACAAAGCGAACATATCTTAAACACCCTTTCCATTTAGCCCAGACGTCTAGGCTTCTTACTTCTCGTCCCTCCGAACTTCAACCTTGTTGCATCCGCCACCTTGACAATCTTATGCCTCAAATGCTCTCCTTCCAACCCAAGCAAAGCCTTCGTGACAGCCTCCCTCCCGGCCCCGAACCCTCTCAATACAACCTCCAACTGCTTAATCTGTGCATTGATCCCTCGATCCTGCATCCTCGTCATAACATAACTCGCCAACTGAAATGCGGAATCATAATGCTTCCTTGCACTGTTCCTAAAGCCAATGTTTCCCGCAGAGACAGATAGCAAAGGCGCCCGAGCCGGGTTCGTGAGCGTGATATGAGTATTGTGTCGAGTGGCGTAGATGTGAAAGTGATGGGGTTCGGCGTACTCCTGCGGAGCCTGTGCTTGGTTCAGGGTACCATCAGAGGCAGTGCTTGTGTTGTAAAGGCCTCCACCAGACTGTCCGTAACTTGACTTCCTGAGAAAGCCACTCATCATGTTCGCAACATTCCCCATGCCCTTCGTCTTCGCTTTTGGGTTCACAGATGCGGAGGGCCGGACGAAGTCATCTGCTGGAGTGGCGTATCGTGCAGCTGGTTTCTGCGGTTCTGAAGCTTGGGTGCGAAGAGTTGTGCTATTGTCTTCGTCTGCTTTTCTCCGGCAGGTATGAGAAAACGGCCGTAGACGGCGTGCTGGTGTTATACAGGCCGGAGTCAACTCTGGGAACAGCCCCAGGGGCGATTGAGCCAGGAGGCGCCGTGGTGCTGTCCTACTCATGGCTGGTTTGTTTGACGTCTAAATCAGACTCGTTCGTGGTGTTGTCAAGAAGTCCTGAGAAAGTTGATCTCGGCTCGGATAAACGATGTTACACCCTGTTGTTTTCTTGGAAGGGGGCGATCCCGGGCTCGGGGAAAATGTTCAAAGCGCCGCCCAAAATTTCCTGGCAACATCTCCCCAATCCAATCTTTTTGCCGACCAACCTGCTCTGTTTTGCAACGGCTCGAGTTAATATCTTGGTCACTGCTCAATCGCTATGAATAGTCTACGGCATTTGGCGACGAGGGCGCCTGCAAACGGGCAATTTTCCGTCGTGAGATCTTCATATGGTCGAGCGGCAGTATACAGACGGTTACTCCAGCAAACACAAGCTTCAAACCTACACTCATTGTCGCCAAACTCATCAAGTTCGACGCTTCCTTTGCATCTCTCTCCTCTACGATCGAACTTTCTTCCAGATGAAATACGGACGGGTTTAGGACCCGCAGTAAGAGCCAGAAGTTTTCACAATGGCGCAAGATTAAGGCAGGAGAAAGAGGCCAAACCTTCCAGCGAGTCGGCGAAAGAAGGAACGGCAGAGAAAGAATCTGCAAAAAAGGCATCAGGGGAGAGTGAGAGTGAAGCAGGCTCCGCTGGCGAAAAGACAAAGGACTCCGAGGGCGAAGGCAAGAAGGAAGAGAAAGAAAAAGAAGCTCCTCCGCCACCTCCTCCACACGGAGACAAGTCACCATGGCAAGTCTTTACGGAGACTTTGCAGTCTGAATTCAAGGCATCGAAGGAGTGGAACGAATCTACCAAAGCCTTGCAAGGAGATGTTCAACGGTTCACAGAGAGCGAGTCAGTCAGGAAGGCGCGACAAGCTTATGAGGCCACAACAGGCAAGGTCACATCGACTGCTGGGACTGTCTTGAAAGGCACGGCTGGTGCCGTTGGCAAGGGAGCAGCTTGGACGTGGGACACACCGGTCGTCAAAGCCGCACGGACAACAGTAAACGCAACGGCAAGTGTAATTGAGAAGGGAACACGGCCTATAAGAGAAACAGAGGCATTTAAGGATGTCAAAAAGGTCATCGACGATGGTAGCAGTTCAAGATATGGAGGATGGGTTGAGAAGGAAGAGCGACGAAAGGCAAGGGAGGCGCGAGAGTTGGAAGAAGCTAAAAAGGCTGGTCTCACTGGAGGCAAGCGGGTTGAAGTCCCCATCGAAGACCCAAAGTAAGTTCTTACTATCCCCCTAAGAATCTTCAATACTAACAGATACAGTGCTGGCACAAACGTAACCCTACACAAAGACGCGGCCTGGAAAGAAACATGGCGCGACTTCCGAGACTCCAACAAAATGATGCAAAACCTCTTCTCCTTGAAATCCGCCTACAACGAATCCGATAACCCCTTCGTCTCAACCGCGCGCAGCATCTCGGATCGCTTTGCCGGTTTCTTCTCTGAGAACGAAACAGCTATGGTCATCAAGAAAATCCGGGAAATGGACCCATCCTTTCAAATGGAGCCTTTCGTGCGCGAAATGCGCGAGTACATTCTCCCCGAAGTCCTAGATGCATACGTAAAAGGCGACACCGTAACGCTGTCACAATGGCTGTCAGCAGCACAGTTTTCGGTCTACGACGCTCTCACCAAACAAACCACTGCCGCAGGTCTTAAAAGTGATGGCCGCATTCTCGATATTCGGAACGTGGAGGTCATGTCTTCCCGCATCTTGGACCCGGGAGATGTTCCAGTGTTCATCATGACCTGCAGGACGCAAGAGGTGCATGTGTACCGCAACATAAAGACGAATGAGCTAGCAGCCGGCATGGAGGATAAGGTCCAGCAAGTCACGTATGCCATTGGCGTCACGAGGATTCCAGAGGACGTAAATAATCCCGAGACGAGAGGGTGGAGGTTGATTGAGTTGCAAAAGAGTGGGAGGGATTACATATGATTGGGCATGTTCTTGTCCGGCTTGTCTCTATTCCGACATCTGTATCTCTACTTTGTAGCGAATGGTGAGGCTTGTGTATATCATTGGGTGTTGGCGGCGTTATATTATCGGCCTGGCAAGGCCGATGATTGATTGGGAAGTCCTTTCTGACGTTGGATCGACGGTCCTCAACTTCACGCCACTCAAAGGGGGATGGATGTATAATTAATGTTTGTATAAAGAAATTCGAAAAGCATAGCATGATGAATGGAGGTTAAGCGTATATTATCCATTTGTAGCCACTCTGGCAACGTCTAGCAATTGATGATAGAATTCAATAAATGCGGGCTTATCTCTGTACGATATATCTACTCCAGAGCAAGATGCTCAATCTTTCTGGATCTCCGGTCATAATTCATCCTATATAAACTGGCACTCGACTGTGCCTCAAATTCGACGGGATGATCTGGGTATCCTCCGGGTCGAAATCGTGAAGTATGAGCCAACAGAGCATCCTAAATACCAATAGGCACCACAATATCCCTCTCTCATTGTCACGATGGGCCCTAGTGATGGGGTGCACGACCTTTTCAAGCATGTCATCAAAGTAAAAGGCCATCATGTGTTTTCGAGACTCTGATAGTCCCAGAGCGCCACGTTGGCCTAAAATGTTACTTGATTTCCGCACATTGTTCAGTCGTGAATTAGGGGTGTCGAGATCGTCGACCATATGCTTGACATGAGTGCCAACAGCAGACATGATGTTTGAGTCGGACCAGTTGTCAACCAAATTGATTGAAAACAAAGGCGACAGCTCCATGGGTAGCATCGAGTACATCAAGGTCGATAGACATCAAAGAAGGGCTGGCCATCTCAATAATTTGTCGACATCAGTCTGATATCTCAGTGAGTACTGGAGCTTTGTGCCCAACCTGTGGGGCTAGATGGAGACGATGAGACAATCTATGAGAAAAATATAATTTGGATATGATCAGGGATCTAAGCCTGTGTACAAAACGTGCGATCTCTTTATCAACTTTCAACTGTAAGCGATCCTTGAGAAATTTGCTGGGTGCAAAACTGATATCGCCTAATACTTAAGGCTTTCGTCAATATAGAGTCAACCAGAAGCCCTATCACAAAACATCGGCCACAAACCTGTCGGTCACAAATCTTGTCGGCCACAAACCTGTCGGCCACAAACCTTTTTGGTATTAGATGAGACGGGCTAATATGTTGCTCCAGCCAAATCAGCTAGCGCAAACCCGAAGTCTAGCGGTCTGATTCTAGAAATGTCGCGCTGAGATATGAAGAGGAGCGTGCAAGCAGATTTGCTTGTAAACGTCGCAGAATATCTCTTTAGCAAAAATAAAAAGGATTTTGTGACTATAAGACCAGCTTCAGTTGAAGTGCTTTAAATTGAATGAGTCGAACAAGACAGCTCGCTCTGTAACCTTGGCTGGAGATTTAGCCCCGGCCAAAGCGAGCATATTGATCTGTGTGGCCAGTCTGTATTTGCTTGGGATCTCCCCAAGGAAAACCTTATCAAAGTGGGGCTTGTCCACCCCAAATTCCACCTTTCAACTAGCGGCTCCGCAAAGCCATATATTTTGGTTCTATCCAGCGCTATTCTCCATCCCAATCTTCCAACTTTGGTCCCCATTAAATCCGCCCTAGAATAGAGTCACTATCTTTTATTCCAGAGTGGCCAGTCTTCTCTAGATCTTACATAGCAGGCGCAATATTTGCAGTCTCTGAATCGGTTCTCAGTAGAGGTAAGAAATACCTCATTGCATTCACTATATATTACAATTCCTCAATACACTATTTCTGAAAAGCGATTTGAAACCCAGCAGAACGAAAGATGACCCATATTTGCAATCTGGCGGACTTTTCGAGCCCATTTCAAACTCTACAACGCGCTTCCCATCAGAACACGGCTAACCGTAATTAGCATCGACGAAATCTTTCCCATAAAACTCCCGGAAAAACTTCTCATTCGCCTTCACAGCCTTCTTTGCGTGTGAAAATCCTATCTTGGTCCTCTCTTTAGTGGCGAAAGCCTGAGCCGCGGACATAATATTCTTTATCTGAGAAAAACGTCAGTAAGGCGAAGGCTGGGGATTCGGAGAGGTAACTTACCTGCCGGCCGTTCAACTTGTAGATAGCTAATTCATCCAGTTCCTTACCTGTGACGTCTGCATCTCCGGAAGCACTAGTTGTCCAGGAAAGGAAGTTCCTCCAGACTTGCCCCCTCGCGTCTTTGGTTAAGTCTTCATATCTAAGCATGAGATGGATCCGGCTCAGGATCGCTGCATCAAACTGAGATACTCGGTTTGTGGTCAAGAAAATTATTCCCTGGCAGTATTCCAGTTTGCGGAGGAACACAGAGACAAGGCCGTTGCGAGTAAGATTATCGGGCGAACGTTGCTCGAGGAAGACGTCTGCTTCGTCTAAGAGAAGAATTGCATTCCAATGGCCAGCAGTCTTGAAGATTCGAGAGAGTTGCCCTTCCAGCTTTGCTGCGTCGGTAGGTAACTCTCCAGCCGAGATCTGGACAGTTAGACTAGCCTTGGAAGGGTGCAAGATGGAAAACGTACTGAGTAGAGAGGCCTTTTCAGGTGCTCAGATACTGCTTCTGCTGCTAAGGTTTTTCCGACTCCAGGGGGACCACTTTTCCATGTTAGTAAGATGAGATAAATGAGCGACATAGGGCCGTACTGCAAGAGCATGTTGATTCCCTTTCCCTTGCCCACGATACAGTCATCAAATTCGACGCTCGGATCAAGGCGAGCCTCCACGAGAGCCATAATGACATCTCTTTGCTCCTCGGGAATCGACAGACAATCGAATGGTAACAATGACCATTCAATCTCTTTGATATCGGCGACCGCAAACTCCGCTGCGTTAGAAGTCAGTGGAATGTCTATATCAGAATAGATGAGATAAAACTCACCCCAGAGCTTCTCGCCAAAACTGAAACCTAGCACAGTCGGGCAGCAAATAAGCAAATCGTCCTCCCTTAACTCAGCCAGCTCAATATCTTCGCTCTGAACCGGCTTAGTTAATGGTGGAGGCGGGCCGCCGGATTCACTGCGAATTCGATTCACGGCTAGGTCAGCACGTGGTCTGGAGTAATTGGGATTCATCTTCCAAAAGAAGTCGGCATCGACCATAACCCGGCTGTCAACAGACACCGCCACCGGCTCTCCTTCGTACATGACAAATGCTTCACCCTGACAGTAGATATGGTGAGTGCCTATTAGGGAGACGAACTTTCGACCACAGTTAACGAGGCCGGACTTGATCTGTTCTTTGTCTGGATGGTATTTGAGAGGGAAAGCTGGAAGGGTGTTGATGCGTTGCGTCCCGCGGAATTTTGGAATGACAAGCTCGGTGGAGGTCTTGCCGAACGCTATGCCATCAAAATCGAAATACGGCAGTCCATACTAAAATACTTCATTTTCCACCTGTTCATCTTCTCTTCAGCAGAATCATATGTAATGCATCGCGGTTTTTTGGTCCCAGAACAAGTGGTATAGACCGGGGTGTTTGGTTTGAAGAGCGCCCAAAGCAGATCAAACGTGATCTCACCATGCTCAAGGAGCGGGAGGAGACGCGCAGTCGTGGGTGCGTAGATCCTCTTCACGCAGTTGATCAACAGATCGAGGTGCTTTGTGAACGTTGTGTCGGTATGCATAATACTTCGATGCGATTCAAGTTCTAGGAGGTAGTGGTACAGGAGATGTCGCTCAACCTATGCCTGGCTTAGTGGGAGATTAATTCCTGTAAGAAAAGGCTCACTGTTGGCTTTTCTTCCACCAAACTTATGCCATGAACATCCTTCAATACCTCTCTCAAGATGTCTCGGAGCTCTTTCGATTTGACATCGATATAGAAGGTCGGGTCTTTGGTGTTCTTGTCTAAAAGCTTGTTAATATAAAAGCGTCTTCAAAGGTAATTACTACTTGCCACTCCGCGTGCGCATAACAAACACGTATTCATCTAGCGTATTCACTTTTGCCGCTGAAGATTCCTGAATCTTGTATTCAGATTCTTCCTCATCCCACCTAAGCGGGTCGTCAGCAGACTTTGATTTATGCTCCATTATAGACATACACTTCATTCACCGTCTTGAATTCCAACCTAGAAGCTAGAGCTGTTTCAGGCTGGCTAGCCTCTGAAGCATCAGGTTTCGCACCTTCGGTTGCCCTGACTGAGTCTGGCGATTTTGGTGGAGGTCCCTGCTTGGTACTGAGAAACTTGAGAATGTCCAAGACCTGTTGGACATGCTCAGTAGTCACAACCTGTGCTGATGGCTGGTTTGTCGGAGGAGCGGAAGCAATCTCTATGGCCACAACGGCTTTGACCATGTCAATGAACTGCTGGACATTGTTCAATGTGACAATATGGTCGGATGATGGATTCGGGCTGCTCGGTGGTGTGGTTGGTTGTGCCGTCGAAGCCTTTCTGACGGCCATTTCATCCATCCCAGCAAGTGCTTCGATTGGAGGGATTTATATGTTTAGGTAGTCTACAGCAATTCAACTCATTAAATGGCCCCACGGTGACGGCTACTTTTGCTCACTTTTCTACGGCCATGTCTTCCTGCAGTAATGTTATTTATCCTCCCTCACTGTCTCGCTATCATTGATCAGCACTGCTTCTTTGGCCCGCATCCATTCGCAGGCTGGAGGCCTGGAAATGTACGTGTTGTCACCGTCACGCACCAACCACTACCCCCCGCACGAGCAAGCTCTCTTAGGAAGGTCTGAAGAAGAGGTCCAATCAATTCTTTGGACAATTTCAAGACGAGCCCTCTTCACACCATCTGCTCCAGCTGCGGCGGCCTATTTCCAGATGCAGTGAATGTGATGTGAGTCACCCACGTTGCCTTCCACAGGAAGGGCCGAGCCGAGAAGTCATGATTGACAGAAGGCTGCTTGTGCTATCCACTGCATCTAGAAAACCCCGCGGCAAGAGCGGGGTTGCCAAGCACAAACATGTGGGGAGTCTGCGTAGCCTGTAAGGCGTCGCTGCTGTTAATCCTAAGAAATATAAAATCGGCTCACATCGCAGAAAATTTGCTTCCCTGTTTATGCTAAATTACCAGAGACACTCCGACTATCTCCTCTAGTCTTCTGCTACAGCTAACGGCTTGCTAGCTTTGGTTCGATAGGCAAAGAACACGGTTAGCTCATTTATAATAATGTCGCATTCTTGCTTACCTTAGTATTTGCTGATAAGGCATTATTTGGCTTCTAATTACTCGATGATTTCTGGCAACAAGAAGTCCCCTCTGACGACACCGAACTTATACTCCGATGGGAAGACTCGGTTTTAGAGCTGCCGATCTTGCGCTATGTAAAAGGTAGTATTGTTACGAACTCCCCTATGAAGGCTTAGAAATTTGTGGACATTTTCCGATCCACGCTGAAAAATGCAGCGTACAACTGCTCTGTATCTGTGCATCAAATCCGCCGCTAACTTGGCAAGAAGGTTAACGGTAAGCAGCCCGTAGCCTTCCAGTCCCAGGGTACTTACTAACATCGAATAGAGGGATATACGGAAGTCGAACGCTCGCAGCACATTTTGCAGTCTGACCCTCGTATCTTTGGGCAGGGTGGAGAGGAGTGAGGTGAAGGGAAGGCTGTTTACTAGGCCGAATAAATGAATGTATCTTGATGATTCTAAAATTTTGTTTGTACCTGATCTTGAACATGTGTGAAGAAACATCCTCATTTGCGAGTCTCCACTTCTCAGAATCAATCAAACAGCGCCTCAGATAGGCGTTGTTTTGCCTCCTCCGGATCCCAATCAACCAATATCCTTTCCTTCTTGTCCTCCATTTTCCACTCCACAAAGGTCTCCATGGCCGCTCTTTCCTTCTCACTTAACAAATTGACCCTCGTCCTCCATAGGTCATCCTTGGGAATATCCTCCTCTCGGGTTCCAAAGAACTTCTCATCTAAATACTTCCAAAATACTGTGTCAAACGCCCAGCTGTTTTTCGCAGCATAATTGAGCCAGAATCGGCCAGTCTCCCAACTTTCACGCATGTGCGTGGACAAGAAGAATGGCAACGTTTCAGAGCCAATATCTTTTTCAACTTTCTCCATAGCTGATAACCAAGTCTGCAACCGAATGTCATAGACCTTAGTCCAGTCATCGATGTCCGGTTTCCACGACTCTGGCACTTCGAGAAGCAACCACCACGGACAGTCAAGCATGAATTGTGTAGGTCCAGCATAAGTAAGCTCCCAGTCTATAACTGCAACTATGTCGTCAGAGTCATCGATGAGGATATTGCCAGGTCTGAAGTCATCGGCCCAAAGCCTGAACGATCTCAGATTACTCGGTGCCCGGGAAAGTTGAGAAGACCAGCTTTTAGACTGGGCTGACCAGCCATCATTAGCAAATCCAAAACTTGAGAGTCGATGATCTTTCGCCAACCGGCGAAAGAGTTGTCGTGCCACATACTTATTTCGGCAATCATCTTCGGTGGTCACAAGGTCATTGTGTTGAAAAATGAGTTGTGCCATATGCATCTCGGCTAAAGCAACATACCACTCATCTGTCGTACTATATGTCTTGTTCTCTGGCGGAAGTACAGCACGGGGAATATTTGCGAGTTGTAGCATGTCGTTCATGTTCTTGGAGAGAGGGCGTCCTGTTATGGAGAAAGTATTATCATCGTTCTCAGACAACGATCCAATGCGATCGAATGAGAGCCGAGAGATCTGTAATAGGCACCGTGCCGCTTTCCCGTAGAAATTTGAGAGCACGGTTTCTGAGATGTTTGGGTCTAGGACAGAAGTTACATCGGGGTCGGGGTTGGGCATTTTGATTCGATTAACCATTAATCCATGATTTTCCACATGTTGAAGGATCATGAAAGGACCAAGATCAGACTTTTCGCCATAATAGAATATCTTAGGAACTGGGATCTGGGTGTGTTGTTCGACATATCTTGCTGTGGCACCTTCTTGAAGAGTCTTCTCAATTGGAAACTGAACCCAATTAGGGCAAGGTAGCCGAACATAGACATCGGAAGCCATTCCCTCAACTTGGACCTTGTATAAGATGTTATATCCACCGATGATCAAAGGTGGCCCGAATGTTGCTTTTCTCCCGAATTTCTGCCCCGCAAGGGAAGCTGCAAGTTCGCAGGTGTCTCTCCTTCGAAGCCGTTTCTGTGATATTTCCCATGCTTCATCGTTTTTGTCCCACGCCAAGTTATCTAGTTGTGCTCTAGCGTCGCCCATTGTGACTTCGGTCCTGCCAAGTGGTTCCGTGGTGATGAGATGAGATGAGATGGGACAGATGAGATGGGACAAGGTGAACTCTAGTCGAATGAAGTTGATGGTCCAGAAACGTCTTTGTGTTCAACTATATGTATTAAAAACTCACAGAACAGCAATGAACAGACCACAGGCTGGATCACACTCAGGATGAACAGACAGGAGATCCAAGTCTTGCCCTCGTTTGACTGTTATGCATTGTTGTTGGTGTCACGTGGCCTTTAAGAACGTTTCGAGCTTGAACGCGTCCGTGCGACGCGCCTAGTTCGCGCGCGGCAATGACGACCAAGTACGTTCGGCGAAGGTTTCTATTTTTCCACCGTGATGTTGGTGTTGGTAGGTGCATCTCCCAATAGAATGTACATGCTTTTTTGGGAATCGACCTTCTAAGGGATAGTATTGGACCACCGGTGGCCCATCTGCACGGGCGCGTTTGTGACTTGGTCCATAGAGGCCCCTAAACGGCTAGCATTGTCTGTTAGCGCTACTGTCGGCCACTATGAGTACTGGGGGACCTTTCTAACGCTAAAAAGCCTCGGGTTGGCTTTACACATGCCTTGGGCGCTTTAGCAATCATCGTGGACCTCTACGATGCGGATGTTACGCCTTACGCTAAAGTTTCTCTTCGCAAAATGATGTACAAGAATTTGCTGAACACAGGATCATTGACCAAGGAACACTGGTTGGTACAAGTGCATAACCTCCAAACAGATGCGGGGACCCGAAGAGAACCTACAGCCCGCGCCCCAGCCGACTGAGAAGCCTGCCCAGGCTCTCACACCTAACCAACAACGCGAGGTCACCCAACAACGGCCAAGACAAGGCTCTGCAATGAGGCATTCTCCCAATTGGTGACAAATTGACATCCTAGATGTATTTTGTGGGCGGTTGGAGATTCGAAATGTTGGTGATATCTTTCTGGCAGCGACAGTAGGCAACCGTGGAGATTGTGGTAGGTACGCCGAAGAGAAAAAAAGCTATAAAGACTGGACTCTTTCCTCCATGTCTTGTTCAAATCCATCAAAGCATTCATATCCTACTTTGACTTGCATCCCATTGAAAACGCAATCAATCTCCAACTCAAGCCTGCTCCAACTTGCAAAACCTTCGCAACCTCCACTCCACTCCTCCATCTGTTTCCTCCACTTCCTATCATTCTTGCCTCTGAAAAGGTACCTCAACCCGCAAGCATCATTACTCATTACCGCTGACATTGCCTTGAAAAGATCCTCAATTGACAATGTCGTCCAAGAACAACGAAAGAGATAGCGACAATAGTCTCACACAGGGCTTCGCCCAGGAAGATGCACAGGAGGCAATGGTGGCAGCTGGCACTGCCAGCAAGAGAAGACGCGACGAAGCGAGAGAACAAAGGGAGAGAGAGGCAGAAGAGCAGAGGAAGGCGGACGCGATCCAGGCGAGCCTCAATGCTGGCAACGATAGCAAGAAAAAGCGCAATAAGTGATCAAAGACTCGCGGCACTGGATCTGGGTAGATTCCCAATCGGTGCAAGTTTTCTTGGATCTGTCGGGGTTGGCTGTCAGAGAAGCGCATTGCTGGCATTGACACTTGTATGGGGACGGTGATGGATTGTTAGTCTCCGGACTTTCACAGGGGTTAGAAAGCCACAATCTCTCTGATCAAACAAGTCATAATACTGCATCTCTGGGGGAAGCTGATAGTCAGTCAAGCCGTATTGATTCGCGAGACGTTACTCCCGATACTTCCCTGTCTTAGAGGATCGACGGGAAAGCATTTAAAACGCCAAAGAAAAGGGGTCGACCTGTAGAATTACACTAGTTCGCAAGACGCTGTTTGAAGATGGGAATGCTTTCAAGGTGATCGGCCGTTTGGGAAAGGAGGTAAATGTATAGGCGAGGACTGGGAGCATTTGTTTACTGTAACGTTTTAGGGAAATCTGTATAATACAATGATATCTAGGAAGCAAAATGACTAATTTGTATGGTTAACTCCACAGTTGTTTTTGATCAAAGACGTTGCTGGGCCTAGCAAGTAGATGAGGAACCTCTACCTCTCCTTCCTTCTCTCCCTTCCCTCCATTCCCCCGCCCCGTTCTCCCGTCCGATGTCCACAGACCCCCGCAAGTACAGGTATTCAAGGAGCCAACGTTTCAGAAATCACCAGTTGAAGACGCTCAGTTAGTTTCTCGGCTCGCAAAGGGTTCGAGCTGCTTGCTGTCCACCTGCGCGAGGAAGCCTAGTCGCCTCTGGGTCGGACCATGTTCCAGCGCGTACGTATTGCGGGCCAAGTCCTGCTTGGGAACTTGCCAAAGATCCACTCCCAAGACTTGCCCTCTTTCTTGTATACCAGTAAGCGCTGCTCGTCTAGGTCTGACCATCGACTATGCTTGGTCGTGCTTGAACACTTCTGCTCATCCTCGCTCAAACAACCGTCATCGTTGCTTAAACCACTGTCATCATCGCTGCTTGCTGACTCACTCCCTTGCTGTGTAACAGTCCTGGCATCTACGGCTCTGCCATGCTGGAGTATGGTTGAAAGGGTGTCGTCGAGGATAGGGCTTGCCTCCGCGGCAGTCGACACAGTCGTTCCGCTGGACGAGAGGCGGGATGAGGCATGCCAGCTAAAGCCAGTCACGAAGAACGAATGTTGCTTGATCGGCTTGACCGTGAAGTCATTAATCTTCCTAATATGGCTGGTGCTTTCGATGAGCCGGGCAACCTGACTGAAAGAGACTCCTCGCCTATCACAACCCTCCCGGATCACTGCTGTAAAGGAGCAGCAATGTAGGGATTGCGGACAGAAGGTAACTTCAATTAGCGTCGGTAGGATGCTTCTAGACGATCCGCCAAGGTCGCTGCAGTTAGATGGCATCTCTGTGTCCGTGGCTTGTGAAGGCGCCGGCGAAGGCAATCGACCCTTTCCACTGGATTCTACGGCGACTCTCAAACCTTGATCAGGAGGAGAGTGTGATTTCGGATAGTGTCGATGGGGTTTGGAGTGTGGTCTATGTTGACGAATAGATCTCTGCCCAAGATGGTACTTGCGCTTCTTTTGCATTGGGCCATTGATGGATGAGGATGGTCGTTTCCGCTTAATAGAACTTGGCCTCCTATAATCCTCGTCCGACTTGGGATTGTTGTTAAACTCGTCGTCGCTACAGCTATCGCTTCTCAACTTGTCTTCACTTGGCTCTGGAGATGGATCGCGGTTGGCGAATTCTGAGCTTTTATTCTTCTTGCTGAATAGATGGGTGTCGCCAACCTTTTCGCTCGTCAGCGCTGCTATTACATCTTCTTTCACCTCGTGCTGCAGCTGCTTGCCATCCTCGTTGTCGTTATCGTCATCCTCCTGCTGCTCTGTCCTCTTCAAAGATATCGGGATTCAGTGCAGGGCGAGCTAGCTCACGTTTGTCTACCGCGCTTTGATCTGTAGGAAGATGATCTGGGGATTGACTATAAGGACAAGCAGGATGGGACATTATGACCTCGGATCTAGCGCGGACCGTACAGTGGTCTGCTGCACTAATGTGGTCATTCAATGGCTCGCTCGAGGCACGGGAAGAGAAAGAAGTACGAGGGCGTGTAGGATTAGACGTCGAAGGTTTTTGCTCGGCAAGCTGCAAGCGTGGAGTCTCGAGGAAGTTATCAATATTGTGCCATTCATCGAGATTAGAAGGAGCCAGAGTTGTCGAGTCAACGGCAGTCTCTAGGCTATCGAGAAGATCCTCGTCTGCTGCTACACTTTCGGCACAGAGACTAACATCATCGACTTCGGCTCCAGAGGCACTTGAGTCGTCACCGCCCAGCAGCACAATTGGATCTTCTACACTATGTTAGGAAAACTGATCTATTTCCACGATAGAGGGTAGTGAGCGTGCTCACCTAGACTGCCGCCTGAGTTATCGCCTAGTGCTGACCCGTTATCAACATCAAGAGAGCCGTCTCTCTCTACAGCTGTATCTCCAACTTCGAAGGCTGAGTTTTTCGGACACTAATCCTTCGCTGCAAAGCCCTCCTTCTGTAGCGTGGTATATAGCAGTTGTTCGATGGAGGAAAGGTCGCAGTCGTTGTTATTGCCGTCGTAGACCGTGCCGGTTTCTACTCAGATTTCCGCAGGTTAGTTACTATCGCTACCAGTCAAACATCTCGATCTCAGAGCTTACCTCGGATTCCAAGCTTGTCTCTTCCACTATTATCAGCTGCTGCTAGTCGGGCCATGTTAAGTGCTGCTTCACTCAGCTTGCTGTGCTGAAGCTTGTTGAGGATGCTGAATTGCTTCGGGGCAGGTTTGTAGCGAGTTGCTGTGCTCTTGGAGCGTGGAGCAGTCGGCACATAAGTATAAGAGATGGGGACAAAAGTGGCCATTTCGAGTGTGTGGAAATGATTAGAAGTATTCAAGAAATTCTCTGCTTGCTGCTGGCTGCACAAACTGGACTGGAAAATGATGACAGAGGGGGAAATCAAAGGGTTCATATAGGCTTCTCGCACTGCCCTCGCAGAACTGCTCTGCGGCCCACCGTACAACTCCTGCCATACCTTGCTCCCTGATGTCCTCACCGTCAAAAACGCCTCGGCGTTAATGCTGTCCTTCTCGTGCAGAGAGATCCACTGCAGCTGCAAGGTCCTGATACCCTCGATCCTGCGCTCTCATTCCGAAAGATGCCTATCCGCAGCAACCAACTCCACTTCGCTGTCCACTACGATCGGCCGATCTCAGTATCCTTTCTCGATCGTCGGCGAGGCCGTGAAAAGCTGAACAAGGAGGAAGGGACGATCGAAGGAAGAGGTGTCGTATGACCTCGGATACCACCGCATACGCCTATCCGAAAGCTTCAGGCAGACTTGCACATTCCAGGTATTCTCGTCGTTGGTGTCTCAGCTCTCATGCGGGCAGCTGGCGCGATCCAATCGGCATATCCTCAGCAGATCCAAGCAATGCTCCTTGCAATGTGTCGTATGATCCTGTCGTCTCGAATTAGCCCAGATTCGCGCAGTCGAGACAAATACGAAACGTGCTGCGGCAAGAGGGAAACTCACCAGGAAGCTCCCGACGCGTCATCCATCCACCAGCGGCACAGCTAGGCAGGAGCCAGGCCGCGTCATCGTGAGGCATTTTTGCAACTGGCTGTTGTGCTACAATGCGTGCAGACCAAGTCTCACGGCATCTCCGTCTCCGAGGGTTTCTGGTATGAGGATCAGTGGTAGTGCAACAGCGAGGCAGATCGAGAGCGCTCAGAGCCGGCTCAGCTCGTATCTCAGCCAATGCGAGGCAGATCTGAGGAGGTCATTGGCGCCGCGGAGGGTCCGCAGCATCGAAATTTGAGAGGGGTGATCAGGGGATCCTGCTCGATGCATAAATCTCAGCTGAGGCGTGGCCGATCAAATAAATGAGCCTGGGCTAGGCAGAAGGGCCGAAAACGAGGCGCGTGCGAAAGTGGGAAAGGTGGGCCCAGCAGGCGTTGTTGGGTTGTTGAAAAGGAAGAAAGATGAGAAAGGAGCGAGCGATGGAGAGACGCGACTCTTATACCTCGCGAAAGCGGCGGTGGGCCCGTGCACGCGCCTTGCCCGATGCGGGGGTCGCAGTTTCCGCATGCGCACTTGCCGTCTGGTTTATTACTATTACTATCTTAGGTCCTAAGAAGGATATACTATAGCTAGCTTTAGCAGTCTCCTAAAAGCATAATAACTGTATTAGATGCTTATTACCTCTTTTTAATTAAACCTAGCTATTTTATAACTAATAGTAAGGTTAATTACTAATTAGTATTAGTATTATAAAGTGATTATTTACTATATGTATAGGTCTATATTTAATAGTACTAGTAGTTTTATTAGTTGTTAGTTAGCTAACTAAAGTGGTGGTTGCAATGCGAAGAGGTTATCCCATTGCTTAGTAAGCTAGCTCGGGGTCACATGACTATAAAGGCTCTAGTCATATCCCTTATATAGTAATAATAATATAGAATATTAATAGCTATGCATAGCCCGAAGGTCTATTATAATATGTCGAGTACATAACATATCATGTCATCCTAAAAAAACTGCGTTGATATTATAGTAGGCTTAGTCATCTTATAAACTCACATGCAAACCAATCCCCTGCCCCTGTGCACCCTAATTGCGATAGTATCAGAGGTACGAACGAGTCGCAATTCAGGCGACAGCTTCGTGGTCGACTGCTTGTATTTGTACATTACTACCCAACAACCTCAAGGCGACTCTCACGAATCTAGAACTTACAGCCTTCTTCTGCGAGGCATATACCGACTGCATTGAGCTTCTCCGCGCCATCCAACCTGTCCGTCCACTCAACTCCCTTCAAGCAACGCAATCGCGAAGCTCTCGATACCAAGCTCTCTGTGGTCTTAGACTTCCGCATTACAGGACTGACGCCCTGCGGTGCGGTCCTTCGTCCTGGGGTTCGAATGTCGAATATATGCAACCTCTAAATCCCTTCCTTTGTGCCTTCTTCAAGAGCAACCTTCCAACACAGTGTACCCCAGTCCATCATCATGTCAGCTTGCCCCGAGAACCTCTCTGTGCTCTGCGCTGACGATGTATAGATTCTGTTAGTGCCTACAACAGATGTCCTCCTTACCTCCCGCGATCGCGAGTCTGGCGCTCTGTACTCAGATCTTGCTGGATCTGAAGATTTCCTCGGGAGCCATGTCTTGCGATTACCAACGAACCATGCTACCGCGGCGGGAGGGAAGGATTTGCCTAATTTGCGCGAGAACAGAGGGAAGGCCAAGCAATATACAACTGTCAATGGTAGAACGGTAGTGGTCAAGGATGCCTATGTCTATAGTAATAAGGGTTGGTGGTATGGGATTTGAATAGGGGCTTAGATGCTGATTGTTGTTGCAGGCTTCAAGACTCTAAATCAGGCCCAACTTTTGTCGGATACGATATGGTACCCGGACTCTTTAGAACCAAGGCAATGGTTGGTCTATTACATATCGCGGCCTTTATTGGGGTTGTTCGAGGAGATCAAGACTATACCGGCCATTATTCCAATGCGTCTACCGAACGGCAAGCCAGCTCACCTTGTCAAAGCCGAACCTCAAGATGAGCCTGGGGAATCTGCAAATCCTCTGCCAAAGAAAAAGGATATCAAAAGCTTCAACGATCTTCTCAATAATTTCCCAATGATTGCTAGACAGATGCAACCCGGGCTGGAGCGTATGTTCAAAGAATTTAACGGTGTCTTTGATAAGCCACTGCCGCCTCCACCCTCTGCATCAAATATTCCCGACCCGGTGCCAGAGGGTCCTATTGCCAAGGCGATGAAGAGAGCAAGATCCAATAGCACGAACTCAGCGCCAGGTTTCCGATCAAATGGTCATGTCGAGCTCCGTGTAGTGGAGGACTTCTTTGCGGAAGATGACGACGATGTTATGCGTGGCGCCTTGGAGACTGCTGTAACAGCCGCTATCGATCTCTTCCAAATGGTTGACAAGCAGCAGTTGTCCCTTCTAGGAGCTACTACAGATCTGACGGGGCCTGTTGTCGAGCGATTGATTGAACGTTATGTGACAGAACAAGTGCATGACACAGTTCTCTATCCTAGACTATGTGCCCTGAAGAGACCGGAAGATATTGAACTGGAGTCTAAGATTAGGCAAATGGAATTCGTCGACATTTCGCAAGTTGGCATCTCAATACAAGGAGGTCAAAGGGGCAAGCATGAGTTGAATTTGCGATTAGGCCGGGCCGTAGAAGAATTTCGAAAACTCGGCGTGGCTGGGAGTCCTCAGCAAATGATGGACGTATTACTTTTGACCTTAAAAACCGTCACACAGCTTACGGAACCGCCAAGGGAATCTATGAACGGCTCGATCTCCGAAAAATCTGGCACAGTCCTTACAATTAATGCTGATACACTGGTATCTTTGCTTTTAATTGTTGTGATTAGGTCTCAAGTCCGGTATCTCCAGGCCCGTTTGCTTTACATGCGCCATTTCATCTTTATTGATGATGTTGAAAGTGGAGAGATGGGATACGCATTGAGTACATTTGAAGCAGTCTTGTCATATCTTGCCCGAGACTCTGGAGGATTACGAAAAGCTAGTCGACGTAACTACAAGTTATGGGAGGCGTCAAAGAAAGGCAAAGTCAAGGATATGATGAGTATCATGGAGCCGGATCGAGACCAATCATCAGATGAAGATGATGAACAAGAGCCTATCATCGAAGACGTAATCGATGAAGATACTCCATGGAGTGGTGTGAATGGCCATTCCAGGCGTTCCTCAAGAAGCAGTGGCAGGTTCTCACAAGCATCAACGTTGAATCACGTTTTCCCTTTTCAAATTCAGCATGAAGATGATGAGGAGGATGAAGAACGAATACCACCACTACGACGACCGAAAACTGTCACAATGGATACCCGAAGCATGTCGAGCAGCTCGGAAATGTCATTTCGCTCGAGGGCTACGACTATCGATTCTATGACGAGCGGGATTGAAGGAGATACATCCATTGAACGCCTTTCCCAAACTCAAGATTCTTTTGGAGAATCGGTCCCGATGATGGCTATTCAGAATGAACGTCCTGAATCTCTGAAGTATATACTGTCTCTCCACGAGTATTATCCACCATATGTAGTTCTTGAGGATTCAAACAATGAAGGCACAACTCTGCTCAGCGCTGCCGTGCAGCTAGGACACACTGAGCTGATTGATATCATCCTGGACTTTGTTTACCACTCTGGACCTGAGTCAGTCGTTAGAGATTACCTGGCAAAACAAGACATCAGAGGAAGAAGCGTTGCTCACTATTTATTTAATGCACCCGCGTTAATATCGAGAGTGGGTCGATTACTTCCTTGGCGGCAAAAGGATAGAAATGGTCAAACTCCTCTATTTGCCCTCTGTCGGTCTTACGACCACGGAACTTATCGCTCGATGGTTGAAGCCGCTTTGGTCGCTGCAACAAGCGCCCAAGGAGATGATGAACCTTTACATCTCGATGACCATATCGATGCGAAAGGCAACACTCTGTTGCATATCGTCAATGACACTCAGATTGCGCTCCGGATTTTGCTTCAGTGCGATTGCGACGTCAACGCTACCAACGACAAGAAATTTACGCCTTTGATGGTAGCCAGCAAATATGGAAGACTCGAGATGGTGAGAGCTCTCTTTGGGGATCCGAGAGTCGACCTTTTTGCAAAGGAACTACGAGGTCTCACAGCTGTTGAGCTGGCCAAAGATGATGATGTGAGAAATCGAATCGATGATCTTATTCTATTTTCAGGACAGCCTGCGGCTGATGGACGGATCACAGCAGTAGTCCGGTCATTCTTTGTCGAAGATGGCACAATTCGTCTTGTCGTTAAATCGGGAGCTCCTTCTCAGAACGCGAGCTTCACAGTCACAACGTGCCGAAGGTCGCTTGCCGATTTTGAGCACTTAGCAAAATTACTGGCACTCGAGAACCCAGCTTCTTGGCTACCGTCAATCTCTGGAATGCGTTCTCCTTTTCAATTTCCATCAAAGCCATCTAGAGCGGTTCTCAGAGACATTCAGATCCGGTTGAATGGATTTCTGAAAATCCTTCTTTCCCACTCTACATTTTCAACACATGAGATGTTGTGGGAATTCTTCCTTGTACCTGATATCCAAGCAGATATGATGGAGCAGCGCAGCAAGCTCAAAGCGGAGACAAGAATTGAAAAGGTAAGGGAAGAGTTTGAGCCCGTTGATGATTTGCGGGATGTAGAGCAGTTCGTGGATCATGCTAGGGATATGGTCCGAAGTGTCAACTACTCTACCAAGAGTGTTGCGCGAAGGACCAATATGATGCGAGTCGTCACTACTGGTACGTACTCATTAGCCTTTCAAATTAAGGCCCGTCTAACTTGTTTAGATCTGTATGACGCTGTAGGCATAGCATCCAAAGCGATTTCAACCCTCGAGTCCCTCCCACAAACACATGTCTCTGCTCTAGATGCCTACGTCAAGACCCTTGCACCATCATCCTCATCGCCATACACGACCTTTCACGCTACTATGCTCTCAATACACAGTACCATCATCGCCATGCTACTTTCTCTCTCCCGGCCTACGTCATTGATAACATCAATCAATGTCTCTCAAAAACTTATCGAGCGTTCGTATAATTCGCTATCGAGGTCCACCCGTTGGCCGTTAGGTCTACTCGATGAAACGCGCCAGCGACTGAACGAAGAAAAAGAAGAGAAGGTTAGAAAAACCAAAGAGGAAGCCCATGAATTAGGCAAAGAATTGAGGTACACACAACAGGTTGTTGCGTCGGAACTTGCGGGGTGGCAAGACTTACACGAGAAGATGGGACGGAAAGCTGTGCAAGATCTTGCGAGAGGAATGCTGACTAAGGAGCAAACGGCCTTGGAGGGAATGAAAAGGGCGATGAGGAAGTTGAAAGTCCAGCTTGTGATGGCCTCAGCACCGAAGCCAAATATGGATGCTGAGGTCAACGGTAGTATCGAGGCTGAACTACCAAATGTCGGTGTTAGTGGGTCTTCTTCAGGAGCATAACTGTTATATTATACAAAAGGATTGCCAAGGGCAATCTTGTGTTGGATAGCAGAATGGATGATTGGGAGTAGGCGTCGGCTAGCGTTGGATTGACGAGCGGCATTTCCCTTCATGAAGCGTTGCATAGCAATAGCGATGATAATTGAAAATCGTTCCGCAGGCTCGGATTACTCTGAAAAAGGCTGTCGCTCGCGTTTTCTTACCGTACGTGAACGTCTTGCATGTTGGCTAGTTAAATATCTCGATCGATCCGCGATGGTCTCTGTCTGGCTTTTTCCCAGTCCTAACTGGATATTCCGTTCATCACTCATATTTCGTTCCTCGGGGGTTTCTTTCGCTTGTTTTGCCGTATTTGTTTTTCACTAGTTGGATTGTGTCGCTCTTAAGGGCTGCAGAAAGAATTGAGTCTTTAGTTGTTAGACTGAGATGATTATGAAGACATATCTTGTGGTTAGTCCCAATCAAAAGTTGACCTGGATGCAATGGATGCAGTATAGGAAAGGTTACTTCAGGTTCAAAAGAGATGGCCTTAAGAATATTTGGCCGGAGAACAGGTACAAAGGATAAGAAAGTGTAATATAAGATATAAACATAAGAGATAAGTCGACCATTCACGACGCCGTACAAGCACACTCTGCATGCCAACATACGACAACTCGTCCTTACGGGTGAGCTCGCTTCCAACGAGGGTCTTACAAAAGCTTTCAATGTCTTTCGTCGTACTCGTGCTAGAGAGAGGCTCAACGTTGATGGTTGGCCCAAAAATGTTCTCAAGTCGAGAGATTTCGAGTTTACTGTAGGGATCCCTAATGAAGGAAACCAAGACTCATTCCTACGTCCCGTCAACTGGGTACTTTCATTGAAAGATCCAAATCGCGAACTCAAGTACTTGATCATAAGTCCCTTCGAGGTCCAAGATTTGTTGCCCCAAATGAGGGGCCAAAATCGGGTGCGCTTGCATGTGTACTCTCCTCGTTTGAGTCTCTCGACTCGTAGTCTTGAGGATCTGTCTTTCTGTGCAGTGCCACCTGTTCAGGATGGCTGGTCTGTCCCAGAAATATCCACCACTCTCAACCTCTTTGCTGGCCAGCTATATCTTCGCGATGCAACGGAGTACCGCACGCTCTGCCGCTTCCTAGGCCTCCGCTTCCAGACATACCAAGACCTCGATATTAGTGCGGATGGCTTCATTTCCCCCGAAGTCCGCCATCTTCAAGACGAGGAGATGGCAGCCGTTTGCAATTTCAGTCGCGGTTCCATCGATTTCCTACGCTTGGTGACAACGTTCCGCAGACTGGGACAAACCTTTGCGACTTCACATGTGGGCAAGATGCTTAGTGGGGATTTAGTTAGAGCGATGGATTTTGAAGTGATCGAGGAAATTGAAGGGGATTGGATAATAATGCAATGGATATTGATCAACCTATGATCACAATTAAGCTGGAGCCTGATCTTATGGAAGAGTATTATGTGTGGGGGCATGGAATTGTTTATACCCGATTAGCTTTCAAATTCCTAATTAGCTGTAAGAGTTGCACACATCACTCGCAGCCCTCCAATTCGCACGGCCCTCGGATTCGCAAGTGCCCACAGTGGTGATACGTTCCAGTAAGAAGTACAGCTTTTTATTCGTTCCTGTCGTAGACTTCCGTCAGCAGCTTAAACACTCACTAGCATCCCTGCAGCGAGCTCGTGTCGCGCGCACATCACATCGCGGCAATCTCCCATCATCAGCTCGTATCTGCAAACCCGATCCTTCCATACTGTAATGTCGGTCCCATCAGCCTCGGTCCCATCAGCCTCGGTCGTATAACGTCGCACTTCGCGAGTGTATCTTTTCTTTCTTTTCGATTGGTGCTATTATAGCATTGATTAAAATTAGAGGCTTGAAGCCGACGGACGCTTCTTTCAAAGTTGAAACCCCATTATCACTCTAGCAGAGCCAGAGCGATTACACCTGCTGTACAATAACAGCTATCCGTACTTCCTTCTCTAGACCATGATATTCTACCTTTCAAATATCGGGTGGTTTGTGACGATTTTTGTGGTGTTGATTTTCTTTAGAAAGAAAGAAAGGTGAAATCGAATTGTTTTGACGATTGATCGTAGTCAGCGATCATACACATATCTGAAGTAGCGATTAGCAAACTCTATAATCTGCGAATGATTTTGATTATGAAATACGCACCCTTCTTGTAGGAACGATGATTATAGTGTGTATTGTGATGCTTCTGATGCTCTCCTGAGTCCTGAGTGGGAATAGTTTGTCCCGTTGGGATACGTGGGTAGCAAATAAAAATTTCGGCAAAGCTACCACCGCGTTTGGGTTGATGCTTCTTGGGTTTACTTCTATAGTTTGAGAGATATAAAGATAGGTTTCAGGTAGACAGCATTCAAACTTCAAAGACTAAAGTGAAGCTAAAAGCTGAAAGTCATCTCGGAGTCGAGTATTTAGAGAGAAAGTTAGTACGTCTCCTTATATATGATTCATATTCACGCGAATTCAGGTATATGTGTTGAAGGTTGTAATTTGTTTCCTTATGCGGCTATGACACCCGCGTATCTACAACGTAACAGTCTCCATATGCTAAAGTGCAACGCAACGCAACGCTATTCCATGAGAAAACTCCACTATGCAACCCCAACTATGTAATATACTCCTTCTCCCATCCACTCACATCCCATGAACCATCTACACCAGAAGTCCGAAGACGACGAGTCCAACAACAGCCATGGCGCCGAGAGAGATTGATCCTGCTCCTGAAGCTTTGCTTGCCTTGGTTGAAGATGCGGAGGGAGATGAGGTCGCCGAAGAAACAGCAGATGCGGAGGGGGATGAGGTCGCCGAAGAAACAGCAGATGAGGAACCGGCAGTAGAGCTGCTAGATGGCGCAGCAGACGAGGCAGAGGTGGAATCGGACTCGGTTTCACCGCCGATGAAGCAGGTGATGTCCTCCTTCTTGATAGTGGTTACAGGATCCAGAGTCTGCAACGTAAGACCGACGCAAAGCTCGATATCAGCGCTGGTGGTGTTGCAGTACTCGTAGCAGCTGGTGGTGATGACTGGAGCGGTCTTGTTGGCGCAGCAGTCGGACAAGACGCCCTTGACATCGTCTCTGGCGCTGAGTGCGAGGACGCAGGTGTTGTTGTAGGTTTGAGCACTCAGGGTATTGGTTAATGGGCAAGACATCTTAGACAGTTGCTTGTCTAGGTGTCGTTATCGAGTTGCAAAGATATGAGTGTTAAGGCTTGAGGTTTCTTGAAGGGGGGAGTTGTGGGAGTGGAAAGTTGAGAGTTGTTGGAGTGTGGTCAAGTTGGGTGCTGGCGAAAGCTTTTATATCCAGAGGGCGGGCGGAGCTCTGTGAATGCAGTTGGTAGAAGCTGGTGTGCGCTATGGATTCATTCTTGGAATGAAGGTGTGAATGGCGAAATGTTTATGGAGTATGTATTGTCCCAGGTTATGTGGATGAAGGCTTGAAGATGAACAAAGGAAGGTGTTAAAGAAAGGAAGAAAGGAAGAAAAGCTACTATAGTAACAATGACATGACCAAAGGATAATGGTGAAGGTGTATGCCTTTGTGGAGATGATCGTTCCTCTTAACCAACAGTCAGTTCTATTTTGGACGACACATGGAAGTTGTGTTGATGCCTGGTACTCCCGTACTCCGCCTCGTGTTACCAACTTCAATAGGGGGGTTGGTTGGTTGGTGGCGCACCCATGGTGGGAATAAGCCCACCCCTGAAGCTTATACGACTACGGAGCATTCACTGGCTCGGACTGAGACTAGACTAGATAGGTCCACGCCCCGACCCGAACCCGAGCTTAGTAAGTTTCAAGGGTGTGCATCTATCGCTCAAATTAATACGGTATCCGACGGTATATAGCACAACACGACCGAGCTTCATTTCATGCTGCATATGTGTGTGACACCGTTTCCATGTGGATATAAATACTACTAATAATAGCAATCATAATAAAATAATCATAAGTTTTAGGTGCTTTACAAAAGTTAGATTTTGCGGAGAATTTTTAGACTTTATCATGCGCATTAGATTCTATCATGCGCCTGACTTGTAGGGCCGTGTCCTCACCCTAAAAAGTCAGGAGCACATGTGCTCTGACAATTAGTCTTCTTCCCTCTATCGTTGTTTGAACTCGTCGTCATGAGATGGTCTCTGATTATCTTGAGTTGTTAGTCTTAGTAAGACAACTTTGGCTAGACGGTATAAGCTGCTTACATGCTTCTGCATGTAACCCACCGAGTCTTCCAGGAACCATCTGAATGTAGAAAGTCGTAGGTCCTGCCTCACTTCAAACCTACCCTGACTGTAGAAAGATCTCCGTTTCAAGCTGAATGAAGCCAGCCGTGTTTATTTTTGACCTCTGCATCCTAAGGTTACAATGCAGTCTAGGATGAGTCCCTCCTGCAAACCAACAAATCCGAGTAAGGCAGGTTGGTTGGATAATCAGTTGCTGTTGGTTGTGTCTCACTCTTTTTGACAGTGTTCTGAAAGTATTACCCCAATGTCTTCACTTCTTCTCATCCCTTCAATCTCCACATTGGCTTTCTAAAAGTAAGCTTTTCATCCTCCGCTTGGCGGGCGTAAGGCAGTTGGTTACATTATCAAGGTTGAGAACCGCAATAGGGGTGTCTCTAGTTGAGAGTTATACTCCTTCGTACCACTTTGTCTTACATCCTTTAGTCTGGTATCTTATCTCTTCTACAATTTCAAGATATTCCTTCGAATCCTGAGTAAGTTTTCATGTCAATCATGCCAAAGAGAACATGAGGTTCTATTTCGAAAATGCAAGAAACTAGGCTACCATCCTTCTCTCAAATGTGGAACCCTCCAGGTGATCTCGTATCCCTCTTTGAAAGGATCATCAATAATAGACTCCATATTACACGTTTCTCTATAAGACTTGGTCGCATCTCTTGCTTTTTTAGTATCATCATTCACAACAGTTCATTGTCTTTTCATCATCATCACATTCATTC